TCAGTCCTGGTTCAGTCCAAGTTTAGTCCTGTTATTGTCCAAGTTTATTCCTGATATAGTCCAAGTTTAGCCCTGGACTAGTCCAAGTTCAGTCATGGTCTATCCCTGTTTCAGTCTTGAACTAGTCCAAGTTTAGTCCTGATTTATTTGGCATCACAACATATTATAATAACAAAGAGCAAAAATATAAACGATAATAAAATATGCAGCAAAAATATCCAGAAGCTGGTGTCAAATGTCAAATGTGTGAAAGTAAAAATAAAACAAATTTAGAGAAATATAATAGTAACACAAATATATCTCAGCTACATACAAGAGGTCGTGAGGGCGAAAAAAAGATCCAAAGATGAAATGGTGATTGACATGACAGAAGTTTATCTTTTACATAAGGGTGAGTTATTGTACAGTTGTAGGGAGTATTATCTGTCACATAAGGGTGAGTTATTGTACAGTTGTAGGGAGTATTATCTGTCACATAAGGGTGAGTTGTTGTACAGTTGTAGGGAGTATTATCTGTCACATAAGGGTGAGTTGTTGTACAGTTGTAGGGAGTATTATCTGTCACATAAGGGTGAGTTGTTGTACAGTTGTAGGGAGTATTATCTGTCACATAAGGGTGAGTTGTTGTACAGTTGTAGGGAGTATTATCTGTCATGTAAGGGTGAGTTGTTGTACAGTTGTAGGGATTATTATCTGTTACATAAGGGTGAGTTGCTGTACAGTTGTAGGGAATATTATCTGTTACATAAAGGTGAGTTGTTTGACAGTTGTAGGGAGTATTATCTGTTGCATAAAGGTGAGTTTATTGTACAGTTGTAGGGAGTATTATTTTTACATAAGGGTGAGTTGTTGTACAGTTGTAGGAGTATTATCTACATAAGGGTGAGTTGTTGTACAGTTGTAGGGAGTATTATCTGTCACATAAGGGTGAGTTGTTGTACAGTTGTAGGGAGTATTATCTGTCACATAAGGGTGAGTTGTTGTACAGTTGTAGGGAGTATTATCTGTCACATAAGGGTGAGTTGTACAGTTGTAGGGAGTATTATCTGTCATGTAAGGGTGAGTTGTTGTACAGTTGTAGGGATTATTATCTGTTACATAAGGGTGAGTTGTGAATATTATCTGTACATAAAGGTGAGTTGTTTGACAGTTGTAGGGAGTATTATCTGTTGCATAAAGGTGAGTTATTGTACAGTTGTAGGGAGTATTATCTGTTACATGAGGGTGAGTTGTTGTACAGTTGTAAGTTGTAGTTGTAGGGAGTATTATCTTTTACATAAGGGTGAGTTGTTGTACAGTTGTAGGGAGTATTATCTGTCACATAAGGGTGAGTTGTTGTACAGTTGTAGGGAGTATTATCTGTCACATAAGGGTGAGTTGTTGTACAGTTGTAGGGAGTATTATCTGTTACATAAAGGTGAGTTGTTTGACAGTTGTAGGGAGTATTATCTGTTGCATAAAGGTGAGTTGTTGTACAGTTGTAGGGAGTATTATCTGTTACATGAGGGTGAGTTGTTGTACAGTTGTAGGGAGTATTATCTGTTACATAAAGGTGAGTTGTTGTACAGTTGTAGGGAGTATTATCTGTTACATGAGGGTGAGTTGTTGTACAGTTGTAGGGAGTATTATCTGTTACATAAGGGTGAGTTGTTGTACAGTTGTAGGGAGTATTATCTGTTGCATAAAGGTGAGTTGTTGTACAGTTGTAGGGAGTATTATCTGTTCCATAATGGTGAGTTATTGTACAGTTGTAGGGAGTATTATCTGTTACATGAGGGTGAGTTGTTGTACAGTTGTAGGGAGTATTATCTGTTGCATAAAGGTGAGTTGTTGTACATGTGAGTATACTGTTGTAAGTGAGTTGTTTGTACAGTTGTAGGTTGATATTATCTGTTACATGGTGAGTTGTTGTACAGTTGTAGGAGTATTATCTGTTGAGGTGAGTTGTTGTACAGTTGTAGGGAGTATTATCTGTTACATAAAGGTGAGTTGTTGTACAGTTGTAGGGAGTATTATCTGTTACATAAAGGTGAGTTGTTTGACAGTTGTAGGGAGTATTATCTGTTACATGAGGGTGAGTTGTTGTACAGTTGTAGTTGTAGTTGTAGTATTATTCCATAATGGTGAGTTATTGTACAGTTGTAGGGAGTATTATCTGTCACATAAGGGTGAGTTGTTGTACAGTTGTAGGGAGTATTATCTGTACATAGTTGTACAGTTGTAGGGAGTATTATCTGTTCATAATGGTGAGTTATTGTACAGTTGTAGGGAGTATTATCTGTTACATGAGGGTGAGTTGTTGTACAGTTGTAGGGTATTATCTGTTACATAAAGGTGAGTTGTTGACAGTTGTAGGAGTATTATCTGTTACATGAGGGTGAGTTGTTGTACAGTTTGTATTATCTGTTACTAAGGTGAGTTGTTTGACAGTTGTGTATTATCTGTTCCATAATGGTGAGTTATTGTACAGTTGTAGGGAGTATTATCTGTTCACATAAGGGTGAGTTGTTGTACAGTTGTAGGGAGTATTATCTGTACATAAGGTAGTTAGTGTTGTACAGTTGTAGGGAGTATTATCTGTTACATAAGGTGAGTTGTTGTACAGTTGTAGGGAGTATTATCTGTACATAAGGGTGAGTTGTTGTACAGTTGTAGGAGTATTATCTGTACATGAGGGTGAGTTGTTGTACAGTTGTAGGGAGTATTATCTGTTACATTGAGGGTGAGTTGTTGTACAGTTGTAGGGAGTATTATCTGTTACATGAGGGTGAGTTGTTGTACAGTTGTAGGGAGTATTATCTGTTACATAAGGGTGAGTTATTGTACAGTTGTAGGGAGTATTATCTGTCACATAAGGGTGAGTTGTTGTACAGTTGTAGGGAGTATTATCTGTTACATAAGGGTGAGTTGTTGTACAATTGTAGGGAGTATTATCTGTTACATAAGGGTCAATTGTTGTACAGTTTGGAGTCTGTCCTGTATCTCTCCAGTCCTGGTTGAATCCCATTTTAGTCCTAATCTTGATGTGGTTTGTGTGTGTACAAATCGAGTGTAAACAAGTGGACTATCTATACATGCCAGAGTGGAGTCTTCCTGTAGCTAATTCCGTCTTAGGTCTCTGTAATTGCTTCGCTCCGCTCCACTGCAGAGATGGAAAGCTAAATGAACCCTAATTTATCATTGCACGCCATATGAACTGCAATTTGCATAATATATTTGGGTGGAATTGTGATGATCTTGCGCATTCAGAAAAAAAGGGAAAACCGGGTTAAAACACACACACACACAAAAAATCTGGTTATTTCCAACGACAAAGATAAGCTTCAAAGAACTGCCAAAGATTTCAAAGGAGAGGGGAACTGGGAGCTTGTTACCTTGATCTTTTTTCAGAATGCAAAAAGTCACAGCTTAAAAATCCAGGTTTTGCGATTATATCAAAATGTGAGCTATTAGAGCTATTTGCTATTTCAGCTGTAGACTGGAACTAACCACGCTAGACGCCGTGTTCCAAATAGGAAATCTCAAAGGAGGTATTTCCGATGTCCTGTCGATTTGAGCTACCTAGTGCTACTGCCCTTGCGCACAACCCCCAAGCACAGTTACAGTTTAAATGCCGTCGATTTAAGCTCCCAAGAAAAAAGTGGAGTAACAAGAAACATTTTTAAGGTGTGTTGGTTTTATTGTATGTTTTGACCAGTTAAGCAGCGATATGTGCGTGTTAGATTTGCGGCAGAAGACCTACGTTAGATGATTGAATAGTTTGGATTTTATCGTTATCGTTTTCATTTTCATTACATCACATTTTATTTTGTTTACATTTGTAGAAAATGTTGTAACTTTGTTTAGAAAGGTGCTGTATCAGTAAAATATCACTATATTATAATAATAATAGGAAATTCACATTGTAGCCTATGATATTTATTTAATATAAAGATTTTAGTGTTTCCAGTTATTTCTTTCTTTCTCTTATATAGTGGGAGCCTTATTTGATAGAAGATATAGGCCTGTCGAAATGAGCTACCTCTACCCAAATTCATATAAATGAATGAATAATGGTGATTCTACAGTGGGAGCATTATTCGATGGTTACATTGGCCTGGCGATATGTGCTACCTTTAATCTGAGCCCTATTTGACTGTCGAAATTAACTACCTGCACATATTCATATAAATGAGTTGTTTGTGCAAACAGCATCAAACCCGCTGTCTCGAATCCAAAGAAATAGGTTGTAAAACTTGGGAGGTTCGCTTTATTGGATCTATACAACATGAATAAACATAAAGCTTGTCGAAGGGGTAGTGTGAATCGATTACATGTCACTGTCGATTTAGGCTACGGGGAGCTCATTTCAACAGAACACCGGCTCCTCCAGATCCTGGCTCCAATGGATTTACACTGCAATGTTGTCCCTTTCTCTCTCTAACTGCGGCTGTTTGCTCTGTTTGCTCTGTTTTGGTCCTAAAATGTTTGTATTAACCCACTACATGATCCTGAAGGAATCTCAAGCTTCATGAAAACGGAGCACTTACAGTATATGGGCCCTCAGGTTAGCGACTAATCACAGAGCAGTGCTGAGGTTTGTGCAGAAACCAAAGCAGATTGAGTCTGGCTTTAATTCTAGTAAAATCCTAGTTTAGTTTTTTGTGTAGTCCTGGTTTAGTTCTTGCATAGTCCTGGTTTAGTTCTTGTGTAGTCCTGGTTTAGTTTTTGTGTAGTCCTAGTTTAGTTCTTGCAGTCTTGGTTTAGTTGTTGTATAGTCTTGGTTTAGTTGTTGTATAGTCCCGGTTTAGTTGTTGTGTAGTCCTGGTTTAGATCTTGTATAGTTCTGGTTTAGTTCTTGTGTAGTCCTGGTTTAATTCAAGCTCAGGTCCTAGTTTCCTGACATTTTTGATGTGTGAATGTTCTCTTAGTTTGCACCAACCCAAACAGTAAATGTCCTATTTTAATATGTGAAAATTAGAAAAAAAAAGACTCTTTAGAGAAGGAAAAGTACTCCGGGGTAGTTTTTTTTTTTACAAAAAGGTTTTTATTATTAAATAAATAAATACGGCACTTTGAACACAATAAATTATTCTGAACAGTGTTTTTACTAATGGCTTCAGACCAGAATCTGATCTGTTTGTTTTGAACGTCTTTCTCCTCTGGCTCCAATACGCTGTCCATTGTGTCCAATATTAAAACATATCACAGTTTTCAATTTCACTAGCATCATTTACATACACTGTACAAAATTTACAAATGTACAACAAGCCACTTTTAAACTCGTCTCCACTGCAATATAATCTATAAATCAGTCTTTTAATAGATTGCGTTCACTTTCTAGATTTTGACGATGTTATAATTTCGGATGGAGGGCAGGAGTTTTGTAAATCTACGGGAAATTTGCGGTTTTTGAAAGACAAACTTCTGATCCAGAGATATTACAGACATATTAACCATAAACCAGATCAACAAATCTGCAATGTGACAGTCAAACCCGCAAAATCCCACCACAGAACTCTGACACATCCTCCACCTCAATTTCAAAACTCTTGGGATTCTCGAAAGTTGCGAGTATCCGTGAACACAACCTATTTCATCCACATTTGCGCCAGTTCCAGCCCAGCGTTTATACATTTCTGTCTCTTTTACTTTTCAAAACGGTCCATTCACGATAACATACTCCAACTCCTCTTCATCGTCTCCTCCTCTTCAACAGTCGACATACAAAGCAGCCCTTTTTGCATGACCCGCCTCCACATTGCTACATCGCATTGTCCTTATACGTCCGCGGTCTAGCTGGCGTGGGTTTTGCTAATAGACTTGGCTAGCGTCAGTCCCACTCGTTTGCATTGTTCCCAGTGGCATTCTCCGTTCTGTGGTCGGTTCTTTAGCTACACCTCTGCAGCAGCATGTTGAGCGAGTAGACCATGCGCTCGCGTAGATCCGTAGGGCATCCGGACGAAAGGAGAGAGCTGAGTTTGAAGCTCTTGGAAACCCGATCCTCGTTGATGTACGTTCAGCATGTACTCGTCGCGCTGGCAGCAGAGGATGATCTTGGTGTGGTCGTGGTAGAAGTTGACCTGGAAGAGACAAAAAAGGAAAAAAAAACCCGTTAAATACATTTTTTTTTTAAATGTTGTGGATAGTTTTAACATTGTAAAAACGTAAATTAAACATATACATCTCTATTAATGTAAGAAGCAGCGACCAGGCTAAGTTACTAGTCAGATCTGTGGAGAGGCGAGCCCATTCACAAGGCAAATGTTTATCAAGTTTTTTTTTTGTTTTTTGTTTTTTACAATTTTGATAAAAGCAAGATAGATACGTTTAATGTCATACTGCGAAACATTCAAGGCAAAGTAGTAACTGTCGAGAAAAAGTTACACAGTGCACATTTAAATTAACGTGAATTAAAAATAATGAAAAGTCTTGACTAATTTAGGGTTTAGTTATATTTGGATGCAAAAAAATCTTGAAATTACCGAAGTAATATTGGACAAAATGCATAATTGAAACTACTTAAACCAAGTAATTTTCTATGGGTGGGACCAAGTTGTTGTTTTGCAAGTCTCAAGTAAGTCTCAAGTCTTTGACCTCAAGTCCGAGTCAAGTCCCAAGTCAAATACAGGCAAGTCCACAGGCGAGTCACTGGCCCAAAAGTCCAAGTCCAAGTCCAACTTTAAGTCATTTCAAGTCTTTAAACCAAAGTTCCAAACACAGGAAGAGGAGGATGTAAGGGTTGTAGAAATGTTAATTTTTCCTTTTTAAATGTCTTGACAAGATCTTAGTTTGAATCATTAAGTCAAAACAGAAAGAATTCAGATTTAAAAGTGATTCTCAAGTCTTCTCAAGTCCAAGTCAAGTCCCAAGTCTTAGTGCATTTTATCAAGTCAGGTCTCAAGTCCTAAAAATAGTGACTCAAGTCTGACCTGAGTCCAACTCTTGCAAGTCCACACCTCTGCTACAGTAGATGCAAGCAATCCATATAACAATAGTGTATGTCACTTTGAATTGAATCTTGAACAGTTGGATTGTCTTGGCATCATTGTCCTAGTCCAGTTATGCAACGAACAGCTTGGTATCGTGTTGTTGTTTTTTTCTTCTTTCCCTTCAATAAATAACTCGACCAGAAAAACTTCCACTGTCGAGGTGTCAGACAAATTGAACCTGCTCCATTCAAAGTGTCTAAATGTTCCCACAAAACAAACTCGTCCAACTCCTGTGAACCAAAGTGGAGTTCGATTGCATAAATAATTACATAAAAGTGGTCCATGGGCGTATACTAGTCTATGTGCTCTTATACTTGTTCTGACAGCTCAAGATCATTCAGGAAAGGTTCATTTTTGTCCTGTAAATATGACTTTTTTTAGTATAATTTGACATCTGAATTTCAAAACTTTTGACAACCCTAAATTATTGGTTTTCCGGATCCTTTTCAAACCCTTTGCAAAGAAATGACTAAGGTAAAAAAGTCAAATATTTAAGCCATGAGTCACCGTAGGGAGTATTCTTGAGTCTGCAATTGAAGCTCCATCAACATTAGCTTCATTGTAGAACATTTACAGGAAATCCTAATATCCGATTTAGTAGGTGGGCACACCTTTAATTACTTTATGAGTAGTTTCACATATTAGTTGACACAAGTCCATTGTGAGTTGGATAATAATCTTAAAATGCACTTTTACTCTCTGGCTTTTAGCACCGTGTGAGTTGTGTAGTCTTCTATATTTATTTGTATTATTTTTATTTTATTTATGTTTTATTTTTATTTATTTATAGTTTTTTTGTTTTGTTTTGTTGCTTTTTTTTTTTTTTTTTTACATAATTTTTAGCTTCAGCATTTTAACACTTTTTATTTATTGTTTTTATTCATGATTTACTATTGTATTAATTTGTCTGTGCAGCACTTTGGTGACTGTCATGTTTATAAAATGTGTTATACAAAATAAAGTAGATTGGATTAGATTGGCAATTCCCCATGCAAATATTAAGTAGAACTGGATAATTAATAAAACTCAGTTAATAATTTGAGAACTAAATATGACCTACTGTGACCGTCAAGTTTTTTTTCTTTATTTTTTTGTAAATGGTGGTGGGTTTGACACCTATTTTTCTCCATGGATATGCAATTTCTTTGCCTTGAATGTTCTGCAGTAAAGCGCTGAACTTGTCTATTCCGATGAAGATGCAACCATGCCAAGTTACAGGTCTGATTTGTGGAGAGGCAAGCCCGCTCATGGTACAAATTTGTGTTTTTCAAGGCATTCATGAGCAAATAAAGACAATTAAATGTAATAAATGAAAAGCAGATGCAGTTAATGCCACACTGGAGACCATTTCACACAATTATGCCTAAATTGAGACAAGAAGTTGACAGATTCTCCATCAGAAACGTTACAAGTTCACCTTTAAAATGTTTTGTTTAATCCCAAGTCACTGATCTATTCTAATCAATCAATCGTCACAGTGAAATGTTACGGGACCAGCTCCGCCTTCCCTGCGCCAGTGAGTCTACAGTTTGTTATTTACCTGGAAAGTGCCGTCGTTGAAGAGCATCATGAGGGCGCGGTCAGACTTGAGCCACTGCAGCAGGTAGAGCCGAGGCATGTGAGCGTCTGTCATGGTGCCCAGGTCCCCGCCCTGTGCAAGCAAACAGTAACAGCTTTAACATGTGGCAGGCTGGGACACGAAGGCACCACCATACAAATGTTCCAAGTGCACAGAACAGGTTTTCAGGATTTGGTTTGGTGGGGTAGCAGCTCTGGTCAATATTTATCATAGTTTTGTATTAGTTAAGTGGGAGTCGTAAAGAAAAGTTTAGAAAAAGGTGAGAAGTACAAAAGTAGCTCTCAGGAATCCCTCAATCTATGCACAAAACTCCAAGGTATGCAAAAGGAGCAACATTGTTGGTTCAGTTCAAATGTTAATTTAGCAAAATAAAGGTGTTGTAAATGATATATATTCATCAAATTATAACTAGTGTGTAAATTAGATGAGTTTTGGCTCTTTTTAACTGGATGGTTGCTAGGTAACAGTTGTCGAATTACCTCTATATATATATTTCTGCTGCACATGTCCATCCAAGAAGTAAAATTGTAAATCAAAATGTCAAACTAGGCAACATTTTTAGACAATTCTTGTAAAGGTAACTAGAAATGAGTAGTCTAACCTGTTATATGCACTTTGAAGAGGTTGAAAAGACTTAAACTAAACTTACATCCATGAGATTCTCCTCCATGTAGTGGGAGAAATACTTCAAGACGGTGACTTGTCCCACAAAGTGTTCTGGGACCTCACACGTTGGAAAGACAGAACGCTGGCCCAACTCTGCGTAGTAATGGATCGTTCTGAAAAAAAATAAAAAAATAAAAAATGTTAGTAATCATGCCATGCCAACATTTTTTGGCTTCACTATGGGAAAAATATATATTAAAAAAAAACATTTATTGTAGCATTAAATCAGATAGAAAGGCTGCATGACCTACTTCCTTCCTGCCAATCACAGCCTGATATATTTATCTCTCAAACAAATACACAGTACACACAACTACTAATCAATAAGTGTGGGTAAAAAAAAAAAAAAAACTATCTAGAGTCCTTTTTTCTCCATTATCCCAAAGATGTTAAGGCAATCCATCAGAAATGTGCTTAAAAATGCGTGATAGTTTTTTAATTTTCAATATTCTAATTTGCCTTTCATCAAAGCAATTGCAATCTGTGTTTTTGATGAACTTCTTGTCTCTGCGAATAATTTGTGTCCACTGCAAAAACTAAAATCTAGCGAGGTTAAAATGACTTGAAGTAAAAAAAAAATTATCATGATTTGAGTAACTTTCACTTGAACTTTTTGTGCTTAAAATCTGAAAATACATCTTGCTGCACTTAAGAAAAACAACTCTTTGCACTTCAGTGTTATTTTTAATTTTTCCTTCATTTTAATTTATCTAGACATCGTTTTTTGTTTTTGTTTTTTTTCCCTGGTGTCCCTTGTTGACTTTTTATATCCATACACTTTCCCAGTTCTCCCATGTTCAACTACGTAACCAAACATGCACCGACTAATCCAATAATAACTAATAATACCTGAGAAATTAAAAGGTAAAGTTTATTTAAAGGGTGCGTACTTTCTGTCTGGCAGCAGGCTCATATGGGTCCCATTGTTGAACAGGACTCCCACAGTGTGATCCGACAGTTGGTAGCCAAAGCCGTACTTGTTGGAGTAGTCCACCCATTTAGTCACCCACTGCAGGTTACAAGTGCTGGAGCCCTGGGGCATGTTGTCAGCTGTGAAGGAACACAAGAACAATGAGCACAGACTGACAGTTAACCAATAGAATTAGTCCTGTCACGATAATTACTCCATCAATTCTGTACTTGGACTTAAACCGCTCATATTGTTCTGTGTTTTGATCGATGTTATAACGTTGTTTCCTCGTCAAAAAACTGACCTGGAGTTGCGTTTTCTTTCATTCACACATGTTTAAAAACACACAAACGCCGCGTATTTAGGATGTGTTCTTCTCTCACGCTGTTCCAACTGGTGCTCCACTGTGTTTTTAAACTCCATACACCTTAACTAGAATCATTTGGATCATTTCAGTCCTGGAATTGGAAGTCACTACTGAAGAAAAACGAAAAGGTAGATGCGAACTTGAAAACTACCGCTTCATGACGTGAGTTTTGGAGATGGACAAAGTGTGTGAACTCCAGTTATGTTTTTTGAGAGGTAACAACATTAAAACATAGATTAAAGCGCACGAAAGTCAATGTTTTGCAGAATACAGGATCTTTAAGTGCTTCTTTCTGTTCTGACTTCATTGCAAATCATGTTTTTTTATGATAATAGACATTCAGAATTGTTTTTGTGATAATCCTGCCTATAGGACATGGTGTCTGTATCCAATCTGCATCCAATCTAATCCAATATTTGCATAATTCAATAATATAAAGTGCATTAGTCATCATTATTCGCAAGCAGGGACTCACCTTTTGGCATGTTCTCCAGACATCCTCGTAGTACGCTGGCCACGGTTTCTGCTACACTGCAAGTTGTGTTGTCTTCCAAGCCTTTAGGGGCAGAATAAATAAAGTACAGACTGAGCAGAAGTTCGTTACCAAAGAACATGAGAAATAGTTAAACAACATGAGGTTAGAGAAGCATTATTGATGTTTACAGCAAAAATGATTGGATCTTTGAATGAAAATCCCATTATGATGAGTCAACCCTTAGACAAAATTAGTTTTTTGTATCTTGTATCTATTTTTGTTTGTAATTTTTCTTTTAATTATGGACCAAATAATCTTCCGTGTCTGAGAATAAAGTTTGTAGAGGGTTGGACATAAATAGTACAAGATAATTGGTGTTTGAAGAGGACATTATGTTACTTAAAGCTTTACAATGCAACTTTTCTAGTGGAGGATCTGCCATGGAAGAGTATCCACTTTGCAGTATGGCATTAAACATATTTACAGTGCTTTTATTTAATTACGGGTACACCCAAGCAGCTGGCAGACCTTCTATCAGAAAAGTTACACAGTGCTGCTTTAGATAATTGCAGCCTGTACCAATTGCGACCTTTCAAACTGTAATTTAGCTTCGATTTTGATGATAAACCATCTGAAATCCGCCAATAACGTGATAAGATTTTGATAAGTTGAGAATAAAAATGCAATTACTCTGAAATGGGCTTAGCATGAGACACTACTCACATTCACTACTGCTGCTGCAGCTCCCCAGACTGCCTCTCACAATCAGGCGGATTGTGTCCTGCGACGTGGGGGACTGGCTCTCTGTTGCCACGGCGACCGGGCTCTCGGCAGACGGCGGAAGTAGAGCTCCATTCTGAGGAGAGGAGAGATGACGAAAAAAGGACTTTAAGAATCGGGGGGTTTTAGCTCATCCCTGCCTCGTGAGTCAACACACTCCCACTGATGTAAAGCAGGAGGAAATAAGCACTTCTGGATGTGTGTTTCAACTGTGAATGCTGGAAGTTTTTTATCAAGGTGACTCACTCGACTGTTCTCAGGGGAAAAAAAAGGGCTCAAAATATGTCATAAGTGCACCTCAGCTATTTCTGTCTGTGGCTCTATCCACGGTTTGATCATTTCGAGAGGTTTTCAGGTTGAAACTAGATATTATTTGCAGCACATTTCAAATAATTTGTAAGATTCAATATCAAAGCACAAGTATTTTCTGCAGCAAATACTTACTTAATGTACTTTCACATTCGATAGAACAACTTTTACTTATATCAGAGTAATATTTGATCACGTGTATAAGTAATAAAATGCAGTACTTTGACCAACTCTGACCATTTCTTAGTCTAAGTCAGTAAAAGGAAGTACAGAGTTTTAATATTCATTCACTTGATTAGAAATGTTTCATGATTTATATTTTAAAACCACTTGTAATTAAGTAAGCGGCTTGTAATTTCTCTACGTTTTATGGGGGAAAAGATTACACACATTTTTTTATAATTAATTGGAGCAGTAATTGTAATTATGATTAGAATTTGATTAGTTGCACAGGCCTGGGTTTAAGGGTGGTAATTATTTTCTCAAATCCAAAGTTTTTCTGTTTTTATTGGCTAAGACCAAACGGAACATTGCATATCTACAGTGAACTCAAATGCACTTTTAGTCTTATTATTGAAGTTTTATAATGGGACCACAAACCTCGGTGATCCTGCGATTCTGTTGCTGGCTGATAACAGTCCTCTCCAGATTGTGTTGCAGTTTATAGATTTCCTCTTCCTCTTTTGTCAGTTTGTCTACGGGAGAAAAACAATCACATCGTAAAGCGCCAGTCCCACAGCCACCATCGTTTCACTCAACATAATGGTCGTAATTGAGTTTTACAAATGCTCTGGGGAAGAAACTTTGTGATTTTAGGATTAAAACTTACTAAAAATCTACAAAAATCCTTTATTTATCTTCAATTTAATTCACAATAACAATAGCATGTAAGTTTACTTTTATGTGTGCAATTGAAAATAACATTTAAAAATTTAGTTTTCCGCTTTGGGATGTTAAAAGTGATAATCAAGTATGTAAATATATGCTTAAAGCTGCACTATGTGACATTTTACGTGGTCTGACACCTGCTTATCTCCATGGAGTTGTTATAGTTTTACCTGGAATCCCACTGTATGGCATTAAAGTTACCTAAAAACAAACCCTCTAATTGAATAAATGCAAGATAGACAGCTTTAATGCCATACTGTGAAACATTTCAGGTAAGCAACACCATCTCCATGGAGACAAGCAGCTGACAGACCCTCCAAAAAAAGTTACACACCTTAAGATTGCACTTTCATCATTGCTACTAAATATGAAACACTATATTGCAAATAAATCCTAAAACCAATTATCTCTGAAATCATATAGTCATATACAAAGCCATGGATACTTCTAAATACAAATAATATCCTTGTTTTTCTTGCGCAACTCATCGAGGTTTTGAGAAATGCATCAGGTTTTATCAATAGTCGTACTCACTCAGGGTTTCGTAGTATTTAACCTTGTCCCTCCTGCCCCCGAACAGAGCGGCTGCAGCTTTCTTGAAGAAGCTCTTGGCCGGACTAGACACATGGAAGTCTGGAGGAGAGTGACAGCAGCTCGGGGACAGACGGTCTGGACTGAAGCCCTGTAACGAACACACCAAAGTGGGTCAGTGTGCAACCGATGGCAACAAGGTCAACAAAAAACTCTCCAACTGTGGGCTTTGTCAGGAGAGTACATGGTGAAATAGATAATAAGGACAGCACATCATTTTGCAATACAAACTCTCTCTGCAAACACCACGAGCACTGAAATTACACTAAGTAAACTACGTAGACCATGATCCTTTGCTCTTTTGTGCAGTCATTAATCTAATCTTTGAAATTATGTACACCATGACATCACTCAGAGCTTAATTGTGATGAGGTAATGCTCGTAGTCCTCGCCACAGTCGCCCTTTTTCGCACGAGATGTTACGCTTTGCCTGGCATGTTCTATCGAGCTTACTCACAAGTCAGATCTATGGAGAGGCTACCCCGTTTACAGTAAAAAAGCATGTTTTCTAAGGCGTTGCTCCAGTAGTTAAACACATGCAATTGAATAAGTAATAATTGACGAAGTAATAATCTAACTGTGGACACAAGCAGATAAAGAACCACCTGCCAGAAAAGTTACATAGTACACCTTTACCAATAGTAATTTGCCCAACCCATCTCTGTATAATAATAAGATAATAAATAAGATCATATAGATAGTAATAAGTTTGGATATAGTCACATCCTGTTGCGCTATTATGTAATAACTTGGCAAAGCTTTCAAGGATTCACTATTGGAACAAAAAAAATGGCAGCGTTGTCGTACCTGTGTGAAGAAGTCGTGCCTTAGGATATGGTCGAGGTTGGGTCTGTCGTCTGGGATCTTGGCCAGGAGGCTGCTGATCAACTGTTTGGCTTGAGGCGACAGAGACGAGGGGAGGGAGTAGCGCGCCTCTCGGATACAGCGATACGTCTCTTTAAGGTTTGTGGTTTCAAAAGGCGGTCGCCCCAGCAGCATCGTGTACCTGTGGGCAGGAAGTTGAGAACTGTGTAAGAAAACAAGCAGAGAACTTTGCAGAATGGAAGGTATTCGTGGGTTTCAACTGTTATGTGTTATGCCATTTTGAGGACGTTTTTTTTTGCAAAAGCCCCAATTTTTCAAAACTCTGAAACCCATGGACAAGAGCTTTTACATCACAGAGTTTTTTGGTGGGGCGGTGGGAAATACACAAGAGAAAGTCGAAATCTAAAATAAAATAAGAATAAATTAACTTTAAATCTCCAAAATGCAAGCTGATCTTCCAATATTGGGTCATTTTTCTGTATTTTTGTGGTTAATTATATAGTCCTTTCACATTTGTGCAATTCTTGCGCTTGACATTTAGACATATTTGTATCATATACCATTTTTTTAAATAATCTCACTTCAAATTTCATAACCTTTGCCATTTTCGCTGTGTTAATAATCACTGACCAAAAGAACATCTAGAGACATTAACTTCAGTCAGTATCTCTTGCCCCTATTTGCTGCAGCTCTTTAATCCCAACACAAAACAGTTTTGATTACTCACATTACGCAGCCCAGAGCCCATATGTCCGATTCACAGCCATGGCCTTGTTTGTTGAGCACTTCAGGGGACAGATAGTTTGGAGTTCCACAGATCGTCTTTCTTCTGTTCCCCGCCGGCTCCAGTTTGGCAGCAAGACCAAAGTCCCCAACCTTCAGCTCCATGGACTCGCTCACAAAGAAATTACCTAAAGGCGAGAATTGGAGAAGATTAACATTTGATGCACAAGATCAATGAAGAGGCATGAGTCAACACAGGACAGAAGATCAAACACGCCGAGCTTAGTCGGCTACTTTGGAGGCTCAACCAATCACAACTCGGGCTTTTCATGGAAGCGCACTCTCTCTCCTCTGTCAATCTCTCTGTCAACTGTGTGAATCAACTCCCTTTCGCCCAAAGTTAGACACACTGCATGACTTTTTTGATGCTTTACTGTCATGAAACAAGCATGTTAACCTAAATGTTCAATGTGTAACTTTTCTGGGAGGGTCCATCACTTGCTTGTGTCCATTGAGAAGTTACTGCTTTGCCTGGAATGTTCCATAGTAGGACATTAAACATATTTATCTTTCAAGTTATGGTCTTTTAATGCACAAAAGTATGTATACTATATGCCTTGAGGTGCCTCTTTTTTGCTTTTATGAAGAAAAGTAATGTTTAATACCAAATTATGGAGCATTATATACAAAGCTGTAACATCTCAAAGCAAATGGGAGATGCTCCACCAGAAAAGTTACATAGTCCACCTTTAACTGAGTTCATCGTTTCAAAATGATCCACTGATTTTGATCGATCCTTCACTGCTGTTATCTAGAGCAACCTGTGAGGACCCATCTTCACCGAGGTTTGCTCAGAATGACCTTATCTGGAGAAATGCCAATTATTATGCATATTTTGGGTTGATCATACACACCAAGAATGCCTGAATCTAACCCACAACCTTCTAGATGTGAGGCCACTTAGCCACTGTGCCACCATTTCCACCGCAGCGGCAGAACAGTCAACTACCTCAAACCTCTCCTCCTCCTCACCACTATGTCTAAACTTAGACAAACTTTACTGATCCACAAGGGAAATTATTTGGACACAGTAGCTCACACGTCACAAGATAATATAATAACAAAGACAAAAAAGATAAATGGTAATAACATCTCAACATGCCAGAAGTTAATTCACTGTATCGAGTTGCAGTCTCTTACCAAGTTTGAGGTCTCTGTGGAGGATCTCCTGTTCGTGAAGATACTTGAGCCCGGATACGATTTGCCTGAGGTAGTAACGCACTTCTGGCTCTGTGAGGACTTTGCGTGCCTTCAGGATGTGGGCTAACGACTAAAACACAAAACGAAAGACAATGAATAGACTATTTATGCACGTTCTTGTAATAATGCATTTGTAAGAAAGCTCAAAGGTCCTATATTACACAAAATTGACTCTTGTGACCTTCAAGTCACGTTAGGATGCTGTTACTTCACCAAAAACATACCTGGAGTTGTGTTTTGTCTAGATCTCTAAAGCTCAAAATGCTCTGTTCCACCTTGTGATGTCATGCAGTGGTAGTTTTTAAGTCAACAGCTGCCCCTTTTACCTTTTCTTAGGTAAAAATTGGCAATTTCAGAGGTGAAATTAATAATGAAGGTGTACATAGCCTAAAGATGCAGAAATTGTGTGAATGCAACAAAACACATCTCCAGGTATGTTTTGGATGATGTCATGCTCCTAGACTTTATGAGAAAATAGCATAAAATACATGTTTAAGTGCAATGCATGAAAACGTAAGCAGGTAGAAACGTGCAAATTAACATACCTTTCTACTGCAATACTCCAATAGAATGTAGATGTTTTCTTTATCTTCAAAATGGTGGTAAAAGTGCACAATGTGTCTGTGGTTTAACGCCTTGTGCAGCTCGATTTCTCTGTCAATCTTTCGAAAAACAACACAATAATCGCGTTAGAATAAAAAGTACAAATGTCAGTTGTTCAGGAAGTGGTTTCCGTGCGTCAGAGTTTTTACCTTCTCCCTTTGGTGTGGTTTGGAGACGCGAGAATGAGGGATGATTTTGGCTGCGTAAACTTTGCTAGTGGACAAGTCTGTCAGCTCGTAGCATTTTGCAAAACCCCCCTGAAAATAAAACAGCGTTAACACTGCGGGCAAAACTACGACAAAACAGTAAATTAAAGATTTTTTTTCGTTTTAATGATCAAGCATAATTTTGGATTTTACTTTGATCTACTAAAAGCACATCCAATGTCATTTTCCTGAACATTTATAGAGTCAAATCTAAAAATAAAACTTAAATGTCTTAGTCTAAAATCTGAACTCATGCACAAACCAGAAGAAAGAAACATTGGATTAAAAAGACCAATGCAACATGATCGATTAGCGGTGCATTCGATTCAAAATCAATCAATTTCACTGCAGCTCTAGAACTTAACACTGCAGACGCTCTTTCCCTCAGCGATTACATCCAAGTTAGAGGCAAAAAGTAAGTACCTTTCCCAAAACTTTGCCGCGGCAGTAGCATTTCCCCGTGGCCGGATCGGTGATAATCCGGGCCATTTCCGACGGTCCATTGCGCTCGTCCGTGCGTTTACGCCGCGGCTCGCATGCCCGCTGCGTGGACTCGCACATGCTGGCGCTGTGGTTGTGTATGTTGGTGTGTACTTCCATAGACATCACGGTTTACATCCAATACTTTAGAATGAAGCCTAGAGGTCCACGGCGCGCGCTTTTATACCCGGCCAAGAGTCCCTCCCCGCGCGCGCCGCCCTCCCGGTGACGTCACAGTGTTAAACCAGGGCAAACCAGCCTCGTACCGCAGATTTTTAGATTTGAGATTTATTTACTAAAGACTGGCTTGGCAGAAGTCAGCATGACATGGTAATCCTGAATGGTGCCAATCATAACATCAGAAAAAGATAAAAAACGTTCTTGTAAAAGCTTTAAATAGGAATACACGATTAAATACACTTTATATTTGTGTAAAAGCATTGCAAATTACATGCTTAATAACAGTAATGTAGATTTAACTATGAAAAATAGGGTCTAATAACAACTAAACAACAACTAAATCACCAGTTTATCCAAATAAGAAAAATAATCCACACACAAACCAAACTTCTCCAAAACTTCCCACTAATCTAAATACTTTTTAATAGTTTTAGATTTCCACATTTTAAAACACGCATAGCTGGTGGATGTCTTATTCTTTTGCACTGAATGTTCCACAGTATGGCATTAAATAAGTATATTTTGTATTTATTCAATTACAGGTGCTTTTATTTCTCAAAACTACCGCAAAAAAATAAAAAATAAATAAATAATCAGTTCTGTGAGTGGGTCCAGTTCTCCACAGATCTGACCTGCAACTGGGTTTGGTGATGTGGTCTCCTTGTCTCCATGGAGATAGTTGCATTAAATGTCACACTGCAGAACATTTCACGAATAAAACCACCATGGAGTCAAGCAGGTGGCAGACCCTCTATACGAGAAAAGTTACACAGTGCACCTTTAAGTGGACCTGGAAGTACTGAATGAATATGACATGTGTATAAATCTAAAATGTGGGCCTTTTTTGTTACTGTTAATGTAGTTTTCCTTTTTTTTCTGTGTAATAGCAGCATTTTACAAGTGTTGCATAGTCTAGTCTGTGTTACCAGATTCTACCGTGATGTCCCGTTACGTAACATTAAAAAAAGCTTTGTATTGATCACCCTTTTGAGCGTGGAGAGGAGAGGGGGGTCACGGAGGGCAAACCAGACAGATTAAATTGAAAACCCGCTGGATATTGGATTCAATTATGCCCCTGAAATGAATGAATCTACAATACAATCTGTGCGTCACGGTGTTTGAAAGCCTTATTAATGATCTATTTCGAAATTTAAACTGCCTTTGCTTTACAAATAGAAAGTTTTATATCTCTAAGTGTTCTTTTTCTTTGAGACAGAGCAGGATAATGGATTGAAAGGGGCTTCACTTTCATTGACTGCAGCTCTGAGGCGGACTGTCTGGAGCACTGGCGCCCTCCGCTGGACACGATGGCAACAGCAAGCCCTGTTTTGAATGGCAAATCACATCCACCATTAAATTTGTGCACTATATTGATGCAAATAAAAGAGACAAGTGCACACAAATGGACTATCAAATCACTGTGCGGTATATGCGGATCACAGGGCAAAAATAATAACAAAACAGTACACGCTAATCCTTTTGGCCTTATGCTACTCTCCCTGCTACTGTCCTCTTGTGTAATGTTATTTTAATGCAATATTTAAATAGTATTAAATGTACTATTGCGTTTACCTTCCTTTAAAGCATCACTGAAGCCTTCGGGAACATATTTCATTCTGTCATGTTGTTTTTTTCGCATGTTGGAATAATAAATAAGGCAAGTGGTACCTTCAAAAGTCAAATCAAATGGATGTTTTTCTCATTCCTGCTGGATCTCTACCACTTTTACTTTGTTACCTTCCAACACTGCTAGATTTCTGTGCTTAAGTATACATTTTAGGCATCTGTGCTTTAATTAAGTAAAGTGGATACGTTTTATTTTAACGTCACTACATTTGAGAGCATGTATTTGTACTTTCTACTACGTTTTTCAACAGGACTGAAAAGGAAAAGTACTTTGTCATTATAGTTTGAGATCTGCTGATACACCTGAGGGTTTGTTTTCAATGTTCATAGTCTGAGAAAACAAAAATATACACATAAAAATGGAAAAAAACTAAGTGATTCAAATGTTTCTACTGAGCAAAATACAGCACAAATCTTTATCAAAATCACTACAAGCTTCATTGGATCTCCAAATCAAATGTAAATCTAAATCTAAAATGTGAAAGTACTTTGTTATTATAGTTTGACAGCTACTGAAAAGCCTGAGGGTTTATTTTTTTAACACATTCATAGTCTGAGCAAACAAAAATATACAAAGAAAAATGGAAAAAAACAAACTGATACAATTGTTTCTACTGAACAAAAGCACAAATCTATCAAAATCACTACACATCTGAAGCTTCATTAGAACTCAAAATCTGTGTGAAATACTTACATTTTGTACTCTTTAAGTACATTTTTAAACAGGTAGGCTACTAGGTAATAATAGATTATAGATTTTTTCATGTGGACCACTGGACTTACTTATACTGGACTATTTATTTGCTCCAGTATCTGTACTTTTACTTAAGTAACAAAATTTAGTCCTTCTTCCACCAATGATTTCTACAGAGACCAGGTTTCATAAGCCATTGCACACTTATACACTTATTATAATTCTTTTGTAATAAAGTTGCCATGATTAGTCTATAAACAGTTCCCCTTTGCACAGTTGGTTTTATATGTTCATGATAAAGAAGCAAAAATGTTCAGCTTGTTTTACGTTCTATGGGGAAATAAAATGAGTCTGGGTGTGTTTCGTACATCAACATCAACAGTGGGATCAGATCGGCCTCTCTGGGTCTGTGCCACGCCAATAATAACAGAGTAGTAGAAACAAAACACTGTCACATCTCCTGAGGGTTAAAGGCGGTTTTGAATGGAAAATCACATCCACCATTTTATTTGCGTATATATTAAAAATACCCAAAGTGTTTTACTAAAATATCAAACTCGATTTCAATGCAAAGGATTAGACTCAATACTGATTCCAATATCACTGTGTTAATAAAAACATTCTTTAATAAGACAATAGAATGTCATTTTAAACATTAAATCATAGTACTTTCTATTATATTACTATGTGGTTTTATATCTGTGTACTCCCTCATCCTAAAGCTTTAACATGTAATATTTTATTAATGATAGCCCCTTTGCCATCTCTTTTTCAAGGGAGATATATTCATTCAGCTACTGAGGAAAAGTCCATCTCTATCCAGTGAATTTAGTATCAAAACTTGCTCAAAAGAGTGTTTAGTTTTGATACTAGTAGATGCTTTTAGTATCAATTAGTATCTGATTTTCAATACTTCTGACAACCCGTCTGAATTCTGTTATCGAGATACTGTAAAAAAAAATATTACAATATTACTTTTTTGGTTATATCGCCCTAAGTAAGTAAATCTTTATTTATGTAGCACTTTCACAGACATTTTCTGTCCCCAAAGACGCTTTACACAGCATTATTCAGCATTATTCATTCAGCATTCATTCATACAGCATTATTCATTCACTCTATACCTGGTGATGGTAAGCTACTATTGTAGCCACAGCTGCCTATGGGGCGCACTGACAGAGGCGCGACCGCCATGCCACTCGGTGCCATCGGTCCCTCTGACCACCACCATCACTCACACACCACTTTCATACTAGGCAATGTGGGTGAAGTGTCTTGCCTAAGGACACAATGATTGAATTGATTGTATTTAACTAACCATGACTATCAACTGTTTTATGGAGACCTTTGGCATGTTTTGGGTTGATGGGGGAAACCGGAGCACCCGGAGGAAACCCATCCAGACACGGGGAGAAACATGCAAACTCCACACAGAAAGTCCCAGGCGACCTGGGGATCGAACCCAGAACCTTCTTGCTGTGAGGCATGAGGCCCTAGTGCCTCTGCTCAACTTCATTATTCTCCAGCAACTAGGTCAGGAATCGGAATACACTAGACGGTTTGCAAAAAAAAAAACAGAAGTGCAAGTTCAGGCACCAGTCAATCAGCGTAGAGTCATACATTCTGTGTTGGCAGCAATTCCCAAGATCTAGTCTTTAACGCTGGAACATAGAGAATATTTGGTGAATTTTATAAAGGGGAAAGACGTTATTGCCCTTCTTCCTATGGGATTTGGGAAACGCTTAATATACCAGTTAGCCCTGCTAGTGGTGCATTACATATGTCACAACCAAATAGCAGCAATTGGCTTAAATAAAAAAGTACCCGTCTACTGTCGAGTGAACTAATTCTAATGCTGCGAGGCCAGACGGTTCCTACGAAGTGAAACCAACTGATGAATCAGGCTAATATCGCCCACCCTTGCACTTTAGATTCTTGTGAAGGCCCTACATTACACAAAACTGACTCTTGTGAGCTTAAAGCCCTGTTATATATTATGTTATAGCGTTGTTCTCTCATCAAAACAGACCTGGAGTTGTGTTTTGCTTCACTCACATGTTTAAGTGATCCTTTATTATTAGTCTGTCTACATCTAAAAGTTCAAAATGCTCTGTTCCACACAGCTACTAAGAGTTTGTTTTCATACCTGACAGTTTCAACCATTTCTGAAATACGGAAACATGCCCATGCAACTATAAACCGGGATGAGGGGGCTTTTTTACTCTCACACACCTGGGATACAGTCCTGAGGAAGTCGGACTGTAGATGGCGCTGTCTTCCGGCCTCCTCCAGTAGGAAAACAGCGTCAAAACCTGTATAAATCACAGACACGTCACAGCAACATCACGTGACCATTCTGAGGAAAACCACTAGTGAGCAGTCGAAACAATCAGGTATGAAAACAAACTCTTGGTCTGAAAAAAGAACCTAATAACATAAATTATCGGAAAACCAAATGAACCTCATTTAGCTTTAGTTAGGCAGAGATTGGCAGTTCCAGAGCTACAATTATCCAAATGATACTAGTGAAGGTGCATGAAGTTTAAAAACACAGTGTTTTCAGTTTGAGGAAAAAAAAACAACTCTAAATAATGCAGGGTTTGTGTGTTAAACCTCCTCCCACGTGAATGAGATGATACACAACTCCAGGTCTGTTTGCGATGAGGAAACATTATATCAGAAACTAGCGTAATATGGGCCATAGCTGACTATTAACAACACCTGAGCACTTATGATGTCCCTGGTCCTGACTAATACATTTTATAATACTGTACGTGAGTAACTCTGAGTGAAAACCCTGTATCCGGTCTGAGATCAAATGCCCATTATTGGTCCCTCTGTTGGTAGCTCTCCACTGTTAGAATGAGTAACATCAGAGGCTGCACCGCGAACACAGTTTGAAAAGCAATTTCCCACAAATCCATTCGAGATGTGAGATAAGGGCGTAAATTAAAAGCATTGCGTGATGGTGATTGCAAAACTAATGGCGTTTTTGTAATCGTAATTGCGTGAATGTGATAAGAATAATTACCAAAGCAGCCAACAAAGCAAGGGCATGTGCTTCTGGTGGAGGGTTTGCCACCTGCTTGTCTCCATAGAAATGTCATTGTTTAGGCCTAGGAATGTTTTACAGTATGGCATTAACTAATTCATTCAAACTGATCTATCTCATGGAAAGAAATAGGATTACAACAACAGGTAAGATCCGTGAAGAGGCGACAATGGGCAAAAATCATCATTCACAAGATTACATGTTTTTCATCCTATTTTAGTAAAAGTACATTGCATTTTTTTTTTTTTTTCTGGTAGAGGAACCATCAAAAGCTTTTCTCCATGGAGGGTCTTCTTTGTGGCCGACCCCAAACTCTGAAACACTCTGCCCCCCCCCACGTCCAAACAGCTCTCACAGTGGAGTGTTTTTAAGTCTCGTCTTAAGACCCACTTTTATTCTCTGGCTTTTAACACCGCGTGAGTTGTGTGGTCCTTTGTGTCTTTTATTTATTTATTCTATTTATTTATAGTTTTTTTTTTTTTTTATTGTCCATTTTATTTTTTAGTACTGCTTTTATGTATTGATTTTCATTATTTTTGTTCATTGATTATTATTATTATTTTATTTATTGATTATTTTAGTTTCCTCATGGTCTCATGGTTGGAACATAATTTTGCAGATTTTTTTTTTTTTTAGTACTGCTTTTATGTATTGATTTTTTATTATTCTTGTTCATTGATTATTATTATTTTATTTATTGATTATTTTAGTTTCCTCGTGGTCTCATGGATTTTGCTGATTTTTTATTTTTTTATTTTTTTTTAGTACTGCTTTTATGTATTGATTTTTATTATTTTTGTTCATTGATTATTATTATTATTTTATTTATTGATTATTTTAGTTTCCTCATGGTCTCATGGTTGGAACATAATTTTGCAGATTTTTTTTTTTTTTTAGTACTGCTTTTATGTATTGATTTTTTATTATTCTTGTTCATTGATTATTATTATTTTATTTATTGATTATTTTAGTTTCCTCGTGGTCTCATGGATTTTGCTGATTTTTTTTTTTTTTTTTTTTTTTTTTTTTTTTTTTTTTTTTTTTTTAGTACTGCTTTTATGTATTGATTTTTATTATTTTTGTTCATTGATTATTATTATTATTTTATTTATTGATTATTTTAGTTTCCTCATGGTCTTATGGTTGGAACATAATTTTGCTGATTTTTTTTTTTTTTAGTACTGCTTTTATGTATTGATTTTTTATTATTCTTGTTCATTGATTATTATTATTTTATTTATTGATTATTTTAGTTTCCTCGTGGTCTCATGGTTGGAACATAATTCTGCAGATTTTTTTATTTAAAAATTTTTATTTTTTTTTAGTACTGCTTTTATGTATTGATTTTCTTACTTTTGTTCACTGATTTTAAAATGGTTTACATTGCTATGTGAATCGCTTTGGAAACTGTCTTGTTTATAAAATGTGCTATACAAATAAAGTTGGATTGGATTGGACTGGATGTTATTTATTGCTTTGTCTGGACAGCTCCACGTGATTATTTATTTTATTTATTTATTTTATTTTATTCATTGTTTTATAATTTTCAGTTTTATGCAATTTAATACTTGTTATTTATTGTTTTTAAATATGATTTACTGTCTTTTATTGAATTAATTTGTCTGTGCAGCACATTGGAAACTGTCATGTTTATAAAATGTGCTATAGAAATAAAGTGGATTGGACTGGATCGGAATGTTTCACAGTATGGCTTTAACCTTTCTATATTCATGGAGCCCAAACCAAACAAGTTACAGGTCAGATCTGTGGAGAGGCAACCCCACTCACAGTCAGAATTCCTGTTTTTCTAGGTATTTTTAAGCCATAAAACCATCTGTAACTGAAGAAATGTAAGGTAGATCTGTTTAATGTCATACTGTGGAACATTCCCGACACATCCATAGAAACAAGCATGTCACAGACCTCCAAACAAAAAGTTATACTGCAATATTAAGCAAGACTTCCCCACATATACTGAGGAATATTCCAAGTAAAGCAATAACATCTCCATCTCCAAAAATTACATAGTTTATCTTCAAATACGTATCGAAATGACTGCAATAATTCAGTCAGGAAGCATCATTTCTTTAGATGTTTTCTTTAGTCAAACAAAGACACTGAAATCAACCCATGTAACAATGATAAGACAGTTAAAAATAGATCGCACGATTCAACAAAACACAAGATCAAGCCAAGATACTGCTAAATTAGCCCACACTGAATCACCACGTCCCAAATAAAAGGCTATTTCTGTTTGTAGTCTGTTTCTGTACGAGTATTAGCAGCATCAAAGCGTGAAGGGTCCTTAAAAATCTTCCGTCATTCGTGCTGTTGATTTTTTTTCGTATTTTTTGTGGGGATATGAATAAAGATAAGTCAGAACAGGCAGCACACGGGAGTCAAGTTGTCCTGACTTTTACTACGTCTCCCACTCGCCTCCCACTCACCCTCATACGATCCAAGACTTCGCAACACAAAGCAAGTGCAGGGTCCATTTCCGAGACAAAATTCCACATAGAGCACTGAGAGTTTAGAGTCACATTTAGTGTTCCAGTGCAGGACGAAGTAACCATGGCGACACGTTGCTTGCAAGAGGACAGGCAGCCACCTAAAATGTATTACGTGAAATTTACTCTTGTGAGCTTTAAGCCACGGTATACTGCTGTTACCTCCTTAAAACAGACCTGGAGTTGTGTTTTGTTTCGTTCACACGTTTGAGTAATCCTTTATTATTAGTCTGTCTACATCTCCAAAGCTCAAAATGCTCTGTTCCAACTTATGATGTCGTGAGGTGGTAGTTTTCAAGTTAAGAGCTCCTTTTTACCTTTAGTTCAGAAGAGATTGAGAATTCCTGGGCTGAAATGATCCAAATGATTGTAATGAAGTTTATAGAGCACAAAGTGATGAATGTTTTCAGTTTGAGAGAAGAACTCAGCCTAAATATGCAGGGTTTGTGTGTTAAACATGTGTGAATGAAACAAAACACAACTCAAGGTCTGGAGGAAAGAGTATAACATAGATCAGAAAATAGAGTAATATGGGCCCGTTAAAATATTTAGTCTGTTAAAAAAAAAAGCAATGGAATAAGGACATGCAATTTCAACCTGTAATTAATATTTATACCTGATTCTCCAACTATTTACAAAAAATATGTAATTAAAATCCTCAAAACCTGGCACAGAAACTACCACCTAGTGCCTCTGCTCAATTTCATTTCTCTCCAGTGATTAGGTCAGGAAACAGAATACACTGGATGGTTTGTAAGAACCCTGGAAGTTGTAGACCGCGCATCGGCCAGTCAGTGAAAAACTGTGAAGCCATGACGTCAAACTCAAACACCTGTCTGGGTCCCTTTTGTGGAACAGCACAACAGTAAACAAAGCGGTCGAGATGGATGTAGACGAAGACAGACGTTCTCTGTTGGCGACGATTCCTAAGATCGAGGATTTAAAGCTGGAACAAAGAGAATGTTTGGTGAATTTTATTAAGGGGAAAGACATTACTGCTCTTCTTCCTACGGGATTTGATGCATTACATACGCCACAACTAATAGCAGGAATTGGTTAAATAAAAAAGTACCCGCGTACCGTTGAGCGAACGAATCCTAATGCTGCGAGGTCAGACGGTTTCCACGAAGTGAAACCCTCTGATGAATTAGGCCACACAGAAACATGTCAACTTGATAATACATAAACCTATGAATTTCAGTTGTGACCCTTTGTTTTTGATGCCAAGGAAGCCCTAACTAGGAATTATTATACGCCATTTGCGGACTGCAGGAAGAATAGTCATCTCTATGGTAATAACTAACTGCGATCCATAATAAAGAACATGTGTGGAACCTTTATTATTATCAGGCAGTGGCGGCGAGTACATGTACACCCAAAAAAGATCAAATTCTGATGTTGGTCCCTCTGATTATTTGTATCAGATTTTGCTATTTACCTGTCATTTATGTAATCTTGCATATCCAGAAATTAGATTATAATCAGATTTTGGTGTGCATATGAACAAGGCCACTGTTATTCGGTTTAGATTTTTATTTTCCAACATAAAAAGAAAAACAATCTATTATACAACTATACAAATACAAATTGGCTCAATTAAGTTCATGAAAGTAATGCAATTTGGCAGCAACTCATTAAAACTATTAGAACAAAACCCGGTGTCTTTATGCTACAGACATTGCGGTGCTTCCAGTTAGCTCTAACCTCCATCCGTTGTCATGGAGATTGATGATAGTGCAAGAAGAAGAAGAACTGATCCGAGATGTCCGCTTTACTCCGTAGCTATTGTCTTTTTTAAACTTTCTCTCACGGCGCTGATGTCGTAGGCGAATGTTTGGTCCAGATTGGAGCCGATGGAAGAGTGAGGAGTCCAGCGAGGAACCGGGAATCTGCAGGAGACCACGAACGCACCATCGGGAAGCTCCTTCAGCAGTTTGTCACTCAGCGCCTCCATCTGTCAATCAAATAACAGGATTCCGCACTAGCACTATCCAGGCGGGGTAATTTTGACAATGCATTTCATCTAGAATTAGTTTTAGTGTAATAGGACTTTGTGAAATTTTCTTAGTCTCGAGCTGGAGCTTGTGGTGGTTAAGACGAGACTTAAAACCAGCGGGGACAGGGTCTTCTCTGTGGTCTGCCCCAAACTCTAGAACATTCTGCCCCCCCACATTTGAACAATCCCCACAGTGGAGTGTTTTAAGTCGCGTCTTAAGACCCATTTTTATTCTGTGGCTTTTCAGAATGTTTTTTTTTTTTTTTTTTTTTGTAATATATTTATTTATCTATTTATTTATTTTTTATTGTATTCATTTTTATTTATTTATTATTTTATTTATGTATTTATTTATTTTTTATTGTTTTTTTTCTATTATATTTTCTTAGTACTGCCTTTATTTATTTATTTCATTTTTTTTCATTTATTATTATTATTATTATTTAATTTTTTAATTTTTATTTTTTTTAATCTTTTGATTCTATTAGTTCCTTTTGTTTTGATATAATTCTGTTGACTTTTTAAAGTGAAATGTTTTACACTGTTATGTGAAGCACTTTGGAAACGGTCTTGTTTATAAAATGTGCTATACAAATAAATTTGGAGCTATTAAGTCACTTTCTTGAAATCCCATAATAGTTTAAGGATACAGGGAACATTCATTTTCTAATGTTTGTGTGCTAATGCAATTTCTGCGAGCGATTATAATATGAAGCTCGTGATTTTTCCTCTGACACTGGGAGACGCTACATTTTCTATTCAAATGATTTTGTAAGACAACAGAGGATTATTATGATCAAATATAAACTTAAAACTTTGCTCATTTTCCACCTTTTAAATACTTTGTTTTACTAATCTCATTCGATCTCTGCGGTCCTTTGCTGTTGAAATTTAGTTAAAAAAAATGTCCTCATATCTTATCCTGTTTAGTTGTCTTAATATTCTATAATGTAATTTGAAGTCTTGCATTTATGGAATTTAGAATGAATTAATTTTGATTGTTTTAAATGTTTAATGATGAATTGGATTGCGGTTATTTTAAGGACATACAATTTCTGATAAAATGTTTTTATTAGAGTTGGTTTAATGTAAATTGTTTCTTTAATGTAGTTTGTACCCCCCCAAGGACTGCAGATGGAAAGTAACTTTTAGCCAAATCTGGCACAGAGCATCTTTTCTCTCTAAGATTAATGTTTTCTGTGCACTGTCCTTGTTTTAAATAAATAAAATAAATAAATCAATCAATAAAATAATCTTTGCTTAAATAAATATTGCTTTGTACTTCTGTTTGCATTAACTTACACTATTTCAATCAATAGGACCGTATAATCAATCAAGATGACTGAAGTAACTGGCGATACTTTCCAGTAACATTATGCAGGGGAAGGTTCTACGTGTATGTCTATGGCAGAATGTTGAGCAGTCATATTAGTAAACAGAGCCAAAAAAGTTTGAAGAGTCAGAAAATGCTACAAAAAATACAAAATTGATTTAAATGAGACTAAACTTTCAGGAACTTGTGAGCAATACGAGCCTCCATGGTGCTGTTCAGGTGTTTGATTTTTAACAAAAAAGGTGAGTGTGACTAACACGAGCTCGCTTGTGACTGTCATTTTATGTAAGAAGGAACACAAAATCGGTTCACCTGTTGTAGCTCCAACTAAGTCAGTTCTTTATATTCAGATAATGCTCAAATTGAAGTCTAACTTGAGGTGTGTGTGGTATAAAATGTTCAACTTCAGCCTAAATGGTTTAAGTCTACTCTGCGTTGTCTGTTGTCATTTATTCTAGTTTCTTTAGTTTAAGGAGTTATTAAGTTAACTAAGAAAACTTTTATATATCCACAAAAGTATCACATTGTCGCTTATCTTTGTCCGTGCCAGTTCACACTTAAAATAATCACTTCTTTGTGAGGAAGAAACGTTCTCACCGCTCCAGGAGCAAGAAAGGCTGTCACGTTGTTGTATGAGGACAGATCAGTCTGGAAACAAAAGATAAAACTTAATATTTTATCTAAAAGAAGAGAAACTCATTCTTAATACACTTGGTTGGGGGTCCGTCACCTGCTTATTTCTAGGGATACGTAATTTCTCTGCCTGGAATGTTCCACAGTATGACATTAAACCTTACATTTATTAAATTACAGGTGGTTTTATAACTCAAAAATACCTAAAAGAAAGATAGAAAGGACAGAAAGGTTTAATACTGTGAAACATTCCAGACAAAGCAATAACATCTCCATGGAGACAAGCATTTGACAGACCCTCCACCGGAAAAGTTACACAATGCACCTTTAACATACACTCCAAAAGCTGATCAATATGGGATTTCTGGACCTTTAAGATTCCCTAAATGAAACGTAAACTGCAAAATCCGATCAGAGTCTTTTTAAATTTCATTTCAATAAGACCACAATCAAGATAAAATTTTCAAACACAAAATAATAATACTTTCTTCATATTAGCATGAAGTCTTGTGTTTGTTCTGATAAGGCTCAAAACTGTTCAGGAAAGCTCAAATTTTGTCCTCTTAATGTGTTTTTTTGCAGTATTTTTTGCAGATACTTGCTCAAATGAGTGTCTAGTTTCGCTATTAGTTTTAGTATTGATTAGTATTCGATATTTTATATTTTTGACAACCGTATTTCCAGAACAACTGACTAACATGGAGGTCTCACAGGATTTAATAATACAGGTTTTTATAAGAGTTACTGGGACAAACCTTCCAGAAGTCAGTCTTAACAAAGTTGGCCTGGCTGGAGGGCAGGCCTGTCCACTGGGCCTTGGCTCGGGCGTAGGCCACGAGGATGGAGTTGATCTCAAAGCCGGTGCACTGGAACCCAGCAGAGGAGGCTGCAAACACCTACAGTACAACACAGATGGTTAGGGTTAGAGGGCAGATATTACTAGGATGTGATGCTACAGTGGAAAAGTATTGTGATTGCAATTAGACGTGCCATAGATGTTTTTTTTGTTTTGTTTAGTTTTTTTTTTTTATTTACTGAGGCTTGGACTGCAAATGTTTTATTGTATCTAAACTTAAGGGCTAACAGGCTTTTCTTTTGTAAAATTGTCCAGATTGTTCCTTGCAGTAGATACTTCAGTAATTGCAACCTACGTAATTTTGTCTAATTTACTGAACTAACTTATAAGGGCATTTCTACAATAATGTGAGCCTATACTCATAATATTGCTATAAAAATGTTACTGCTCAAATAAACATATAATCAGAAAATGTCTCTGAAGTCAGACTTGACATACAGTATTAATATTAACAATGATTTTTAGGCATGTAACAATAACCGAAATACAGTGATATTGTATCGTCAAAAGTCTCACAATAATATCATGGGCTGTCAATATATCGAATTACATGTTTCTTTGCTTAAATGGATGGTTTTATAGTAGCAACAGCTTATAAACCTCGGGAACTACATATCCCATGATTCATTTCAGTGCAGACAACATGAAGAAATATGTTTTTTACTTGAATTTTTGGGATTATGACAGAAATAATTCACCAAAATCTTGTCAACGTATTTTAAAAGAAGAAACATGTCCTATCTACAATTATATTAACCTCTTCATAATTAAATATTGCAATAAATATCGTACCGTGAGAAGATGCATATCGTGATAATATTGTACTGAGAGATTTGGATATCGTTACATCTCTAATGATTTTACATGATATTGTACAGCCTTTGTTATGGAGAGCATGAAGACAAATGTCCTCTGTCTGAAGTCAGATGGAAGACCTTGGCATTTGAGTGACCTATATAATCCTTGAGATAAGGTTAATCTATTATCTGACATTACAACAATAAAGCTTTTACATTATAGTAAGAGACAGATCTCGTTATGAATAGAAAGTACAGAAATACAAAGGTCTGTCCACTCACCAGTCTGCCGTCCCCTGAGCCCAGGTCTGCCAGACGACCTGAACGTCCGTGCAGGTGCCTCATCACGTTCACTGTCTGCTGTTTACTCGAGGGCAAATATGGAACCTACAAAGTCCATGTGATTCTTATTATTACACTCAATTTAGTAGTTTCTTCAGCTACTTTTCTGGTGGAGGGTGTACCACTTGCTTGTCTCTATGAAGATATTAATGTTTTGCATGAAATGTTCCGCAGTGTGGCATTTAATGCATCGATCTCTATGGTGAGGAGCAGGGAGAGTCACTAGGCTAAATTACAGGTGGTTTAAATTACAAACTGTCGAGAAGCGATTCAGCTAAAACACAGAAATAATATGTTTTCAAGATATTGTTTCACAATAAAAACACCTACTGTATTTTTCGTACTGTAAGTGGCTCTGGAGTCACACCAGCCAAAAAATGCATAATGAAGAAAAAAAAAAAAAACATGTAAGTCACACCGGACTATGAGTCGCACTTTTTGGGGGAAATTTATTTTATAAAATGAGAGACCGACATTTCATCTTGAAAGGCAAGTTATAGTAATAACAACAGAACAGAGAACAACAGACTGTTAACGTCACACATGAACAGTTCTTCAGATAAACTATAGCATAAACAACAGAACAAGTTTACCAAACTCTCCATCTCACTCCAAATCACTAAATCCATTGAATTCTTCATCCTCCCTATCACTTCTGAGCAACTCCACAACCTCCGGAGGTAAACAGAGCGCTGCTTCCTCTTCTGTGTCGCCGTCGTCAGACTTGGCATCAGTTCCAGTTACAATTATTCCGGCCTTTCTGAATCCCAACAGGATGGTTTCGGTTGTTTTTATGTTTGTTTAAATTTTAAATTGTCAGTGATACAGAAGTAATGGTGCGATCGACTGACATGATACCAGACGGGACAGTGGCTCTGTCTCTTCTGCAGCTGACATGCGCAGTAGAGTGAAGTGACAGTGGCACAGGAGCACACAAGCCTAGAGCCTCTCGCAGACGTCAGTGTGAAAATTTTAACATATAAGTTGCACCGGAGTATAAGCCGCAGGGCCACCCACACTATGAAAAAAAGTGCAATTTATAGTATAGAAAAGTACGGTGCTTGGATCTATACTTGAATGTACTGTAAAGATTAGATTAATGCCTTACTGTGGACCATTACAGGCATCAATAACATCACCATGGAGACAAGCAGGCATCTAATATATTCAAGATTTTTGTGTCTGAATTAAATATATTACATAACATATTTGATAGTTGTAGGAAACAGGAACCATTCATTTTCTATTGGCTTGATTTGTGTAACTAAAATGTGTTCTGTGCTAATACGATTTCTGCATGCAATTATAAAATGAAGCTTGCAATTTTTTCCACTGTCATTTTCTATTCAAGTCATTTTTATAAGAAATGAGGTGATTATTATGATCAAATGTAGACTTACCACTTTGCTCCTTTTCCTTTTCCACATTTGTTGCGCCAAAATAAGCAAATCATTACCGTGCAAGTTATGATAATTGTGCAGATCGTACACATCAGGCATGCAAAATGTAAACTTGGGAAGCGCTGTACATTTATAGATCACATTCCAGGGATGGCACAAATTAAAACTGATACAGAGAATATGTAGAAATATACTTGTAGAATTACTTGTACTAAAACTGCAACAATGTAGGAAAAAAAATAACTAAAATGAAGAATATTTTCAGAGTCATGCATTATATAATCCCACACCAATAGTTGTCAGTTTTTAATTGCCAAGTTCTTAAGACAGAATGACTCCCAATTCTAAACAAAAATAGTGTCTTGTTGTTGACAAGTATAAACCCCCTACTAGGGATGCAACAATAACCAAAATACCGTGATATTGTATTGTCAAACATATCGAAGTACAAGTTCCTTTGCTTAAATGCATTGTTTTATAATAGAAAAAGCTCATACACATTGGGAACTACATTTCCCATGATTCATTTCAGTGCAGACAACATCAAGAAATATGTTTTTTTACTGGAATTTTTGGGATTATGACAGTAATAATTCACACTAATATCTTGTATTTTAAAAGAAAAAAAAAAAAAGTGTTCTATCTATAATTATATCAGCCTCTCCAAAATATTGCAATAAATATCATACCGTGAGATGCATATCGTGAAAATATCGTACCAAGAGATTTACATATTGTTACATCCCTACCTCTGTATTTAATTTGAACTGTTTATATTCTCTCATTTGCCACAACTCAGACTGTAAACGAAGCCTCTCTCTGACCTTTAGTTTCCATGGCACCCTTCGGAAGCCGGGCACAGCGAACAGGCTCCAGAGGCCGTACATGCCGGTGAGCAGAGCCCCGGAGCAGGCTGTGACCACAGGGTGCTCCCTCTGCAGAGACAGGGGGGAGTCCTGGAGAATCACCTCAATGCAGTCCTCCATCACAAACCTGCTATGTAGAATAATACGAGAATAATACATGCATCATAAATTTCCAGTCATTGCGCAATGCATACTGGGAAGGATTTTCCAAAAAAGTGAGCATCAAACCACCATGTTTGATTTCCCAGTGGGATGCGTCTATTGACAAAGTCGATCTTTTCTAGTCTTTTGAACCATATCGCTTTTGTTTCTGGTTCTGATATCGTCATATTTTAGTTATCGGATTCGGACATCGTAATTGTGTGGTTGTTGGATGTCCTAACAGTGGAAAACGGCTCGAGAAAGAAAGAAGTTTGTGAACTCCATTAATGAAAAAGGGAATCAGATCTGTCACTGCAAACCTCCGTTCAAACTGTTTTCCTTCCCAACGGAACTGAAAAATAGTGAAAAGTGAAGGCGATGGTTAGTATTGATACACAGGAAGGACGAAAAAGGTAATTTTTGGCTGCCATCCCGAGTTTGCAGTGAACATTTTGTATGTGGTCTGAAATTCATGATGCATGTATACAAAACAAAGTTATTTCTGAATATTTATACATAAAATACATGTACACAGGTATGAAACCAATGCATTAAAGGTGCATTGTGTAACTTTTGTGGTGGAGACATCTTCAAGGAGATGTTACTGCTTTGTCTGGAATGTTTCACAGTATGGTATTAAACATTTCTATCTTCATGGAGACCAAACCAAACCAATTACAGGTCACATCTGTGGAGAGATGAACCCATTCCCAGTAACGCCTGTTTTTCTAGGTATTTTTGAGCTATCAAACCACCCGTAGAGCTGTTTAATGCCATGCTGTGGGACATTTCAAGCAGAGTAATGACATATTGACAGAAACAAGCATGTGACAGACCCCCAGCCAAGAAGTGTACAGATTTTTGACTAACTAATTGAGACAATGGAAAGTTGTTCATAATTAGGAAGACTGATAGTAATAAAACACCCTCTGGAAATGGTCTAGTTGTATTTTTATAAAGAATCAAAGTACTTTCTGTTCTACACACCATGCTGTTTCATGGTGGCTTCACAGCTTTGAGAAGGAAATATGAGATTAATCTAATTTAAAAGGGCCCACATTATTATCTATCTGATCTATGTTATAATGTTTTTCCTCATCACAAACAGACCTGGAGTTGTGTTTTGTTTTTTTTTTTTTTTTTTGTTTCATTCACACCTTTAACACACAAACCCTACAAATTTAGGCCAAGTTCTTCTGTCTAGACTAAAAACAATCTGTTCCATCTTGTCATGTCATGTTGTAATACAAGAAGTGCTCCACTGTGTTTTTAAACTCCACACACTTTCACTAGAATCACTTGGATGATACCAGCCCTGGAATTTCCAATCACTACTGAACAAAAGTGTTGTTGATGAGGTACCAACATGACTAAAAGCTCACGATAGTCAATTTTGCATAATATACTAGCTTTACAGAAAAATGTGTATATGTATTTGTTATGCCTAGAATATTTCACAGTGAGAAATGTATATATCTTCTTTCTGTGATCTCCTTGGAAACAGTAATAATAGTAATTCAATGTGCAATGTAGAAAAATTTTAATCATAGTGGAACCAGGCAAAGCAATAACATATCCAGTGCGTCATGGTGTGAACTGAGTAGAAATGATTTATATTCTACGCCGGAAATCGACATGTTTGATTAATTTACATAATTTCCAACAGATAAACTGATTCCCAACATGCGTCAGACTGGGCAATTTTTTATTTTATTTTATTTTTTTTCCATGGGGCCACATGAGAAACAGAAAATATTGTGGAGGACTGGGCTCAATTCTGTGTAATATTAATTGTATTTCTTTATAAAAATCATTAAATATCATTGTTCTGACAAGTGTAAGAGTTTATGTTATGACTAAGCAATGAAAAAGTGAGGTTGCCTTACAAAAAATTTAAAAAAAAAACAAATCTAAAATAAAAGTAATGCAGATTTAGTCCATGCATGAGGTAAAATTATAAAATATGTTTATTTTGTAATTCCAAATGGAGCCAGAGTCAACCAAATGGCCGGATAATGCGCCAGGCAGAGCTCAGACTGGAGTTATTTTTCCAACCAGCAGATGGCGCCGGAGTGACCTTAGTAACATTCTAGAAAAGCATGTTTACCACCACAATCTCGCCTGGTTCTAACAGTTTTTGAGGGTTTGTGAATTACTTTTTTTGTCCACTCAAAGCCATCACAGCCTGTACAATTATGAACGTGCGTTTTTTAGGGCACGAAATACAAAATAAACAACCACTTTTCTGGAAAACCCCAAGTTTGTCAAGGCATTTTTGTTGCAGAGATCAACATCAGACCAACATGACAACGCTACGATCCAAATTATAACATTAAAAACCATGCAACGTGATGTTTTAGTAAAGTTTGACGGATTTTTGTAAGTAATATTTGCACATGCGTTGCAGAGAAAGTGTTTGGAGTCTGGAGCTCACCTGGCACGCCCCCTGTTCTGGACGTTACGCACGCTGCACGGCACGTACTCCAGCCCAGCGCACGGATACGGTTTCATCGCCCGCCCTGTGACTTTAATACCGCCCTATCAAATGAATACGCTCTGCTGCTATTGGGAAACGCGCCTGTCAGATAAAGCACACACCCAATCTATAACCAGTTGCTCTTGCGCAATCATTGTTGTGTTTGGTAGTCACTTTTTGATACTACTTTGGATTAAAGGTGGATCAAAGTGGCCAAAGTGAAAACAAGAAGGCAGGCTACTCAAGTCAAAATGAAAGTGGTCGTCCAAGTTATAAGATATGAATATTTGGAAAGTATTTGGTCATAATTCCTAGTAGTAATTTTCAGTTTGAGAGTAGAACTCAATCTGAATAAACGTGTGAATGAAACAAAACACAACTCCAGGTCTGTTTATGATGAGGAAACAATATCATAACGTAGCTCAGAAAATATATGACCAGTTTTTCTTTACTGTTTATTGTGTCATTGCACTCTGAAATGAAAAAACATAGAACAAATAAGCTATTTGAGTTGAAAAAGAAATTATGGAATCAATTTATTGACCAAAACATGTTCTAAACTTTTGATTCATCGAAGTGTTCACCTTTGGCAGATATTACAGCTGAACACTCGTGGCTCGTTCTTTTTACAATAGAAATCAAATATTTTTCGGAAAGTTCTTCCCAAGTCTGTTGCAGGAGTTCCCATAAATGTGTGACACTTGTAGGTTGTTTGTCTTTCACTCTTCTGTCCAGTTCATCCCAAACCAACTCGATGGGGTTTAAGTCTGGAGACTGTGCTGGACACTCCATGTTTTCAAGTTTACCATCTTGTTCTTTTTTTGTGAGTTTTTAGCAGAGCTTGGACTTGTGTTTTGTCATTACAGTTTATTTATTTTTTTAACCTCTGGCTGTTCTGTTCTTACCTTTGTACCATTTCAAGCTCTTCATTGGACTTCCACGACTTGAAACGCAATAAATAACTGGAAAAATTAGGGTTTTCTAAAACTTTTGATAGTGTATTTTTAACTGTTTTAATGCGATATCTTGTTTTATTTTGTTTTTTTGTTGATTTAAGACATACATGCATTAGGCCTTTGTTATTACTTAAATGTGCACTGTGTAACTTTTTGGTGGAAGGGTCTGCCACCTGCTTGTCTCCATGGAGATGTTATTGCCTTGTCTGGAATATTTCTCAGTGTGGCATTAAGCTCTATCTAATCTATAGCTTAGTCCAGTGGGGTTCATTTGGTCTTCCGATAATTTATGTTATTAGGTTCTTTTTTCATACTGAAGAAGAGTTTGTTTTCATACGTGACAGTTTCGATTGCTCTTCCTCAGAGTGGTCACTTGATGTTACTGTGACGTGTCCGGTCAGCTGATTTAAATAGGTTTTGGCGCTGTCTTCCTATTGCTAGTGAGCAGTCGAAACTGTCAGGTATGAAAACCAACTTTTGGTCTGAAAAAAAAAACAACAACTTAATAACATAAATTATCTATAGTTTCATTGAGACAAGCAGGTGACTTTGTCAGGTGATACAAGTCGAATCTGTGCTGAGAATCGTGTTTTTCATCAGAAATCATGCAGAATCCAGGCCAGATTGACATGTTTATGTTTAGTGTGGGACATTCAAAGCAGGTAGCATCTCCATATAGAAAAGTTACATAGTGCACCTTTAAACTAACTTTAAAGGGCCCTCATTACGTTATTTTTATGTTATAATGTTGTTTCCTCATCAAAAATATCCACAGAATTGCATTTTGTTTCATTCATGTTTAACACACAAACCTGCATATTTAGCCTGTGGTCGTCTCTCAAACGGAAAACACTCTGTTCCACTTTGTGATGTCATGTGGTAATACAGGAAGTGCTCCACTGTGTTTTTAAACTCCACACACCTTCATTAGAATCATTTGGATTGGATTTCAGGCCTGGAATTGCCCATCTCTATTGGACAAAAAGTTAAAAGTAGCTGTTAACTTGAAAACTACCACTACATGACATTACAAGGTGGACCAGAGCCTTGGAAGATGTAGACAGACTAATAATAAAGGATTACGCAAGCTCCAGGTATTCTTTTAGTGAGGTAACAGCATTATAACATATCTTAAAACTCACAAGAGGCAATTTTGTGTAATATAGGACCTTAAAAACATTTTGCAGGTCCTGAGGTACTTGGCCTGTATAAAAAGAATAGAATAACATCACCATTTGATTTTCTCTTATGCGTTTTGTAAACTCTATGGGAGAGTTTATGTTCAGTATAACCTATAATATCCAGTCCTGCATTCGTGTGACGCAAATGTAGCTCCTGTAATCCAGTTGCATTCGTTTCCCCTCCTGCTCATCCGCCCTGGCCTCACCGTGCACCCGCTCCATTTGAAAGGCCTCTAATGATAATATTCATCAGCACTCAAGCGGCTCTTATTCACTCCCTCCCTCCCTCTCTCTCCCTCTCTTTCTCTGTGTGTATGTGTTTCTCTCTCCCTACCTCTCTCTCCATCTCCCTCTCTCCCCCTCTCTCTCCTCTCTCTGTCTGTCTACCTCTCTCTCTCCATCTCTCTCTCCCTCCCCCCTCTCTTTCTCTCTCCATCTCTCGCTCTAACTCTCCCTCCATCTCTCTCTCCCTCCTCTCCATCTCTCTCTCTCTCTCCATCTCTCTCTCCCTCTCTCCATCTCTCGCTCTAACTCTCCCTCCATCTCTCTCTCTCTCCCTCCATCTCTCTCTCCCTCTCTCCATCTCTCACTGTAACTCTCCCTCCATCTCTCTCTCCCTCCTCTCCATCTCTCTCTCTCTCTATCTCTCCATCTCTCGCTCTAACTCTCCCTCCATCTCTCTCTCCCCCTCTCCATTTCTCTCTCTCCATCTCCCTCTCTCGCTCTCTTTGTCTGTCTCTCTACCTCTCTCTCTCCATCTCTCTCTCTCCTTCCTCCTCTCTCTCCCTTTCTTCACCTCTCTCTCCCTCCTCTCCCTCTCTCTTCATCTCTCTCTCTCTCTCTCTTTCCATCTCTCTATCTCTTTCTAGCTGTATCGCTTTCTCTTTCTCTCTCTCTCCCTGTCTTTCTCTCCATCTCTCTCTCTCTCTCCTCCTCCTCCTCTCTCCATTTCTCGCTCTCTGTCTCTCCATCTCTCTTTCTCCACCTCTTTCTTTTCCTTCCTCTCTCTCTCTCTCTCTTTCACTGGTTGTTGCAGATGCACGAGGAGAGGAGGGGGGAGGAGGGGACGCACGGCAACCAGCAGTGACGCAAACACGACTCAGGCCATTCAGGTTCTTGAAAGAAATGAAATAGGCCTCCCAGCTGTTTTATGTTTGTTATATCATCGATTTTAAAGTAGCTGCAGCCGGACCGCGCTCTCATGGAGCTGTACGGCAAGGTAAGACCAGACACAAGATACACTGTTTACGTTTAATAAGACTGAAAACACACTTAAAAACTACTAATGTGGGTAAAGAATAAAATAATGTAGCCTATATATCTCTACAAATGTTTTACAGCTGGTTAAACTATATTGTTATTCGTGTTTGTTTAAAATAACTCAATTTGACAGAACCACATTTACGCACAGCACGTGAAAGATGAGATGACATTAAAACATAAATTAAACGCAATAGATGTTGGTAATTAATGACACTGAGTAGGGAATAAGGCTACTAATAACTCCTACAGTATTTTTATTAAGCTATAGGCTAGTTTATGACACGTGCATGGTCAAAATAACTTAATTTGATAATCAAACCACATTTACGCACGTTTAAGATTAGCTGTCGTTTAGATACAAACAAATTCAATGCTTTAGATGTTGCTAATTAATGACATTGTGTAGGGAATAAGGCTGCTAATAACTCGTACAATATTTTTATTAAGGTATAGTTTATGACACGTGCATCAAAATAACTCCATTTGATAACAAAACAAGCAAGTTTAATGCTGTAGATGTTGGTAATTAATGATATTATATAGGGGATAAGGCTACTAATAACGATTCGTATAGTATTTTTTATTATGCTATAGTTTATGGCACGTGTTTGGTACAAAATAACAAAATAATTTGATAATAAGACCAAATTTACGCATGCGAAAGATTAGTTCAGCTGTCATTAAAGATCAAGCACAAACTGAATGCTACGGATTTGGTAATTAATGTCATTATGCTAGCTACTAATAGGGTTATGCTAATGTTTATTTGTACAATATAAGCTATTATTTTATGATTCATAGTTGGTCAAAATAACTTAATTTGATTTTAGTCCTTGATTTACATTTACGCACGTCAAAATCATAAAATAAACAACGCTGCCAGACGGATATCGCACAACAAGGAAATCGACCGTATCCCCCGTTGCATTCTGGGAAACGTAGTGCAATTATGGCCCGGCCAACCGTCTGACCCATTCCTCGTTATCCTCCGTAAAACTACACGGGCTTTCTTTCTTTCCTAATGAAAAGAGCGTTCACGGTGACGCTCCATTTACGCACACACGCACGAGACCGGCTCGCTCCTGCGCGTGCCTCGTCAGCTCGGGGCGCGTGCAGGCGGCAGCAGCTGAGGCACAGTGGACAGCTCCGGTGCTGAAGCAGTCTGCAGCGCACGGGAGGAGACCAGCGCAGAGCGGAGGGGAAAAAAAACGCCTGCGATCACAAAAGCCATTTCAAAGCGTCATTTTGCAGATAGTTCAGGGCTTGCACTGATCCGAGGCGTGCGAAACAGGTTAGTTACTTTACTGTATTCGTTTCTGAAAGGAAATATTAACGCTATTTTGCTCGTTGGAAGGTGAAATGACCTCCTGGATTGAGGAATAGCCAGTTTACACGTCAGCGTCGCTCGGAATTGGCGACATTTTTTTTAACGAATCAGTTCTTTAGCTCAACATCTCAACATTGCACGGTCTTGTCCTTGCCCCATTTGTGATTTTATTTAAGGGGCGGGGGGAGAAGAAGGAATGGGAGGAAGGGAGGGAGGGCAGGTGCAGGCCCGATATAGGTCCGATATTTTTTTGTTTTTTTTTTCCTTTGCTTGGGCTGAAATCAGTTCTTTATCGCGTTTGGCACGGGAGGAGCGCGCAAGCTTTGTCATAACATTTCACCTTGGAGAAAAGATGACTGCTCTTGTCATGCTACCAGTACTCAGCCCTCCAGCGAAGGGGCTTTACTGCATAGGCAACCCAAAAGGCGTTTCACATATGGGTGAATGAAAATGATGTGACCTCCTTACGTCTACTCTGGTTGAGCGTCTGAAATGGTGTGAAACTCGTAAGAAACACATGACATAACATCTGATAGAGCAACCTTAAACATGTCCGCCGGATATGCAAGTCCTTGTATGCCTGGTTTGTATTCCAAATATTGATTTTCTGTGTACATTTCATAAGCAGTTATTTGATACCTTTACGGTCTATTGCTTCGTGGGTTAAAGTGAATTTCTATTACGGAAATGGAACACAACAGGAGCCAAAATGCATCCTTGAAAACCGCTTTTAGGATGCGTTCATACTTTTCCCGACTTGATTTTGGTTTCTTCCCATTTTAATCCTGGTCTAGGCTTGGTTTAGATCAATTTTAGTTCCAGTTTAGTCCCAGTTTTGGTGTGGTGTGCAAATGTGACTGCAGTTGATTAAGCTTTGGCTTTGTAACCATTGGCTCACATTGTGTCCATGAGCAAGACACTTAATTCCCCATTCCACTCAGTTATATTGCTGGGACAGGAATTGGATCTGTGAAAAAAAACTGTCACACTCTTATTTTTTTGGTATGAAATCAACCCATAATGACAAAGAAGGCAGCCAATATGATTCTACTATTGACAGAAATACAATTAATATTCAGATAAATAGCATAAAGTAGTAGTAGTAGTGGTGGTGGTAGTACTAGTCATCTTGTAATCAATGTTACTTTAAAAATGGAAAAATCACATTATCTATTTAACCTGCATATTGTTGAGTATGTCCAAATGAGCATAAATACAACCAAAATAGATGCCATTTATGTGTAAAATGCTACAGCAGATCAAAACTTAAGATTAAAAAAAAAAAAAAATTACATCTGTGGTTTTAGTATCACGTTTTTTCAAATTTTAATAGTTTTTATCATGTTTTTCTTATTAAGACTAATATATAGAAGTGCTCCAATCGAGCAAGGTAAAAAAAAAAAATAACATGATTGATGTTGGTGATTCGTGGTTCCTGATTGATTTTGATTCTTTGTTTAGAATAATTCATTAAAATCAAAATTCCTGTTTGGCACAAGTAGAAAATGCATCCAGTTTAGTTCATCTAGACCCTTATACAGAAAACTCATCATGTCTTCTCACTGTAGAACTATCGGCAAACCATTTAGGGCACACGTCTCGAAAATGTTTGTGATTACTCCCTTATCCTTTCTAAAAATATATGTTTAAAGGCCCCATATTAGACTATTTTCTGATCTCTGTTGTAATGTATTTCCCTCATCACAAACAGACCCGGAGTTGTGTTTTGTTTAATTCCCACATGCTACACACACAAACCCTGCATATTCAGGCTGATTTCTTGTCTCAAACACAAAACACTCAGTACAGGAAGTGCTCCAAAGGGTTTTTAAACTCCATACAGCTTCACTAGAATCGTTTGAATAGTTTCAGCCCTGGAACTGTCAATCTCTACTGAATAAAAGCTAAAACGAGTTGTTAACTTGAAAACTATGACTACATGACATCACAAGGTGGAACAGAGCATTTTGAGCTTCAGAGATGTAGACAGACTAATAATAAAGTGTTACTCAAACATGTGTAAATGAAATAAAACACAACTGTTTTTTGAGGAGGTAACAACATTATAACATGTCTTAAAAATCCATGTATCAATCGTTCATTAGTTTTTTCAATATAAAACCAAAAATAAGAAAATGAAAAAACAACTATTTTCTTTATTGTTTTCTTTATTATTACCCAAATGAAAAAATGGATAATGATTCTTTTTTTTTTTTTTTTTTTTTATGAATAATGGAAAAAAATGGATAATGGCCATTTCCATGACTTAAACTGCGATGACGAACTTTTATGGTTCGGACTGAACCAGGACTGAACCAAGTCTAAACCAAGTCTAAACCAGGTCTAAACCAGGACAAAACAGGTGTCAGTTCTGGTCTGCTCCCAGTCTCAGTCCTGGTCTCCTTTCTGGTCTGGTCCTGGTTCCAGTCTCAGTCCCGGTCTGGTCCTGGTCTGGTCCCGATCTCAGTCCTGTTCACCCGACGGGCTCACCTCCTGGGCCTATCCTGACACTCAGTACTGGTTTAGTCTTGGTTTAGTCCTGGTTCAGTCCGTATGCCGCGCAAAAGTCCGGCATCACAGCTTAAATCACGGAAATGAGAAACGGCCCTTATCCGTGTTTTTTTTTGTTTTGTTTGTTGTTTGTTGTTTTTTTTCCATTTTAGTTTTGGAGACAAATAATGAAGAAATTAGTGTTTTTTCATTTTCTTATTTTTGGTTTTATTTTGAAAAACAAATGAACGAATGATACATGGATTCTTAAAGCTCATAAGAGTCAGTTCAGTTTTGCGTAGGATGGGACCTTTAAAATAGCAATTACACATTTTCCTAATCAAAACCAGCGCCATTACCTGCACCTCATTGATACCACGTTAACACATCACTGCACGCTGTTCTGAGCTAAGAGTCATGCTGGTTTCCCTGACGCAGCCTTCTGTCACCTCTGATCAGCGGAGTAAACTACCAGCTCCTCTCTGCTCCTGCTCTTTGCCCTATTGTACTATATATTCTACACCATATATACGATATACAGGGACTCGTCAATACAACTGTTCTTCAGATGAAACTCAAGCTGTTGTGTAACATAATCACCACAGCAACATTCTGGGTGACTTCAAGGTGAGCCTCTCAAAGTCTTTCCGTTGATTGGCCTGTTTTTACAGCGTTTCTACAATTAGATCAGACTGAGGATAGACGGGTTTTTGTTTAACTCCGGGAGAAATTCACTGTTTAATAAGAAATCAGCAAAACAGAAAATCTACTAATGTAACTTTTCCTGTGGAGGATCAATCACCGTCATGTTCCAATAACTCTACTTTACATTTATTCAGTTACAGGTGGTTTTATCTCTCAAAAATACCTAGAAAAACAAGCATTCTGTTTGTGAGCGGGGTTGCCTCTCCACAGGTCTGACCTGTAACTTGGTCTGGTTTGGTCTCTGTGAAGATTTAAAGTTTTAATGCCATACTGTGAAACATTTCAGACAAAACAATAACATGCAGATCAGCTGGAAAGTCCCCTTGGCTGGAAGGTCCCCAAGCTGGAACATCTCTTTGAATTGTACACTTTATGAAGTTAGTTAATCTACATATACATAAAAAAAAAAAAAAAAATCATTATATGTTGTTGTTGTTGTATTAATTATATTATAATTATGAATTGCCAATACTCTCCTCAGTCCATCTGCAGTATTTGGGATGTGGCTCTTAAGATGATAAAATTTTCTAAAAGGTTCTATGTGTTCATGTTTATGGCAGCAAGTAAGAAAATAATTACTATTTCTTCCAAAATCAACAGTTACAGATGCTATAGGACATGATGAACAAGAGAAAAAGATTTAAAATACGATTTAGTAGTAAACGTCTGCAAGGAAATGAGGATTATATTGATATTACTTACTGAAATATGTGCTCCACTTCAGGACGATGGGTAAAATGACATAAACAAGGACCGATATTTGGTCTCACTACATTCACATCACAGTTCCCGCCGATGAGAATGGGACACTCGAGCTGGGACTTTCAAGCCAGGGGGATGATCGAGCTGGTATTCAGATGTTTTTCCATGAAGAAAACCATTTGACAGACCCTCCACCAGATAAGTTACACAATGCACTTTTTCAATTGCAGATGTTTTCATGGCTAGAATAAACCTTGAAAAGCGTGCAGTCATACATCCAAGTGGGCTCATTTCTTCACAGATCTGACTTGTAACTTGGCCTGGTGGCATCACATGCTTGTTCTCATGTTAATAGATAAGTTTAATGCAAGACTGTGGAACATTTTAGGCATAGCAACAACATTTCAACAGAGACAAGCAGGTAGAGGTAGCCAGAATGGCACCACCTATTGCCTCCGCTCAATTTCATTTCTCTCCATTGACTAGGTCAGGAATCAGAATACACTAGACGGTGGAGACAAATTAAATTGAGCAGAGGCACTAGGTGGTGCCAGCCTGGCTACGATGTTTCACAGTATGGCAATAAATCGTTCTATCATCACGGAGACCAAACCAGACCAAGTTACATATATGTCAGATCTGCAGAGGGTCGGCTCCGCACACAGTCAGTATGCATATATATATATTTTTTTAGGTATTTCTGAGCTGTCAAAAAAGCTGTAATTGAATAAATGTAACATAGAGCTGTTTAATGTCATACTGTGGAACATTCCAGGCAGAGCAATGGCATATCCTTAGAAACAAGAACGTGACAAACTCCCAACCAAAAAGTTAAACAGTTTTGGATCGTTAAACTGTTCTGCTCTCCAGTTTTTCAGCTTTGACTTTACCATGACATGAATCTAACTTGCCTTCTTTCTTCTCCACAGATGGCTGCCACTCAGGACATGAAAGGGAAGGGCGAGGGAGGAGACCAGAACTTTGACTACATGTTTAAACTCCTGATCATTGGGAACAGCAGCGTGGGCAAAACCTCCTTCCTTTTTCGGTACGCGGACGACGCCTTCACCTCCGCCTTCGTCAGCACCGTGGGGATCGACTTTAAAGTGAAAACTGTCTACAAGAACGACAAAAGGATCAAGCTACAGATCTGGGTATGAAACAGAATACACACAACGCAATGTCCAGGAATAGATGGTATAGATGGAAGTTATTGCTGGTGGAATTGGAGAAGGCTGTGTGCGTGTGTTTGTGAAGTCTATAAGAGTTGGAGTTAGGGAATAGTGCAAAATATTAAAGTGATATCATGATTTTTTGGGAGAACTTCACTGTGATTGGTTAGATGACCCAGAGTACTCTATTTTCTGATCTATGTTGTAATGTTTTGTCATCACAAGCATTAGGAAGTGCTCCACTGTGTTTTTAAACTCCGTACACCTTCACTAGAATCATTTGGATGATTTCAGTCCTGGAAGTGCCGGTCTCTACCAAACTAAAGGTAAAGGTAGCTGCTAACTTGAAAACCACTGCTTCATGACCAGTGTTGAGAGTAACGAATTATTGTAATGCATTACAGAGAAAAAATTGTAATATTTTACTCAGTACAAATGTCAGTAACGCGTGTTGGAATGCATTTTTTACCTTGATTGAAGTGGTGGGTTTTTCATTTTTCTTCATACAAAAATCGTTAAAATCACCATGATATCAGCAGAGGTGAAACGCCATCGCTACGGTTCCTAGTGCCAGGACGGGCCTGGAGGTGCGCCCGTGTAGACCGTCGGGTAACTGCGAGAAAAGGACTGGTGCACAGCTCCACACTCCACGGGGCTAATCGCAGCTGACGCCCGATCACGCTTTGCGGACACCCTGCTCCACTGGTCCAAGATTCCAAGTCCTAGTCCAAGATTAGTCCTGGTTTAGACCTGATTTTGACCTGGTTTAGTCCTGGGTTACTCCTGGTTTAGACTTGGTTTAGACCTGGTTCATTCCTGGTTCAGCTCTGGTTTAGTCCTAGTTTAGTCCAGATGTAGTCCTGGTTCAGTCCTCGGTTCAGCCCTAGTTTAGACCTGGTTTAGTCCTGGTTCAGTTCTGGTTCAGTTCAGATTCCGTCCTGGTTCAGTCCTTGGTTCAGTCCTTGGTTCAGTCCTGGTTTAGTCCTGGTTCAGTCCTCGGTTCAGTCCTGGTTTAGTCCTGGTTCAGTCATTGGTTCAGTCCTTCATTCAGTCCTCGGTTCAGTCCTGGTTTAGACCTGGTTTAGTCCTGGTTCAGTTCTGGTTCAATTCAGGTTCAGTCCTGGTTTAGTCCTGGTTTAGACCTGGTTTAGTCCTCGGTTCAGTCTTAGTTTAGTCCTAGTTCAGTCCTTGGTTGAGTCCTTGGTTCAGTCCTGGTTTAGTCCTGGTTCAGTTCATATACGGCGCGAAAGTCTGGCATTTTCGCTTGCTGATTGTTATTTGACAGCATCAGTTGTTTTGGTGAGAGTAAAAAGTGCTGCAATAGTCGTGTAATGCCTTACATTTTAAATGCAGTAATATTGTAATGTAATGAATTACTTTGAAATGACAGTAACAAGTCATAAATAACACATTACAGTTTTGGAGCATTTTGAGATGGAGACAGACTAACTCCAGGTGTGTTTTTTTAGGAGGTAACAATGTTCTTACATGACTAAAACCTCTCAAGAGTCAGTTTTGTGTAATATAGGACCTTTAAATCCATCGGTCAGTCACTCAGAATCAAATCGAAGTCACAATTTGAGTTGGGACAAGTTAAATCGCAAAGGCTGTCATTATTTAGATAATATATTCCTCTGCAAAGAACGAAAGATCCTGTCCTTTTTATAGAAGGATCTTGTAGCTGTAGTTTAAATCTCTACACCATGTTCTGTGTGGAAAAGTGTGTTTGAGAACAGAGCTGCTTTAGACATAGAAGCATGAATCACAATGTACCATCTCGTCACATAAGAACAACCAGAGCTGTTTAAATACACTATTGTAAACTTAAATGTTTACAGTGGAACTTTCCTGACATTTCTGTTTTATTTATGTAGGATAAGTTTGTTCGTTCATTTTGCAGCACTACAAAAAACATAAACTACAACCTCATGGATCATGACCGAAAGGGTTTAGGCTGAAGTAAAAGTGCAAATCAATGACAGAATTCCAAGAAAGAAAAACAGCTTATGAACAGCAAGTTTGCGTTTACAATTTCACTTACAACTTAGTGTAGAAATGTGACAAAATAAAAATAAAAACAACTCTAACTCTAACAAAATTGAATGCATGGTTCATTCATTCCAGAGCTCTATAGCTTTTAAAACATAACGCTTTATAACCTTTTGAAAGACCTCTACAGTGTAAAATCGTCATTCAGGTTATTCCATATACTAACCCCTCTATAAGAAACACAATCTTCATTTCATTTTTTTAAAGATGACTGTTCTTCTAAGGTTACACTGAGCCTCTCTGCTAAAATAACTCCTGTAAACAAGGACAGAGCAGATGATTATAGGACCTTGTACATCACTGCAGTTGTACTTTGGTCAACAAGATAAAAAAAACAAAAAAAAAAAACTTAAATAAACAAAAAGAGGATTTGTTGGTGCATAGTAATTCACTTGATTCATAATCGTGATAACCTTCTTTTGGAGTAGAAAAATGTTATTAATATTTGATTTATACGTTTTCCCCCATATTTCCACACAGAAATATTCCCACATCCTTCTTGCATTGATTCAAGTACAGGAGCTTTATTTGCTGAACGATATCTTGAAAAACATGCATACTGACTAGAGGTGGGACCAAGTCGTTGTTTTACAAGTCTCAAGTAAGTCTCAAGTCTTTGACCTCAAGTTCAAGTCAAGTCCAAAGTAAAAAACGGGCAAGTCCAAGTTGAGTCTTAAGTCACTGGTCCATAAGTCCAAGTCAAGTCCAAGTCATCTGCTTTGAGTTTCAAGTCATTTCAAGTCCTTTAAACTAAAATACTAATTATATCTTAGATTTTTGCAGTTTATATGACTTTTAAACTAAATTGTACTCAAAAATCTTGTAGAAGAAGACAAAAAGAGTTGCAGAAATGCTGATTTTTCCTTTTTAAATGTCTTGACAAAAGTGCAAATTATTACGGTCAGAATAGAAAGAGTGCAGATTTAAGAGTGCTTAATAACAGTTAATTTGTCAACAAGTCTAAGCATCAAGTCTTCTGAAGTCACAGGCTGTGTCGAGTCCCAAGTTTTTATCTATTTTATCAAGTCAAGTCCTAAAAATAGTGACTCAAGTCTGATTTGAGTCCAAGTCACAACTTGCAAGTGCTCAATTCTGATTCTCACAATGAGTGGGCTTGCCTCTCCACAGATCTGACCTGTAACATGGCTTGGTGACGTCTGCATAGAGATACATACACATCAAAGCAGGTAGTGACCCGAAAAGTTACATAATGTACCTTTAAGGCACTATACATTATGGAATATGAAAGCTTTTGAGTATAAAGGACTACATTGACCATGATACTTTGCTTCATTTATATTCCTACGAGTTGCAAAATGCGATTTTGCAACTCAAATACTTCCTTTATCTGAGACATCCTATGCATTTTTAAATCTGCATTGGTATTTTTAGAACTCATGCTTTTAGTCATTCATCCCAAGGTCTGTTAGAAGCCTCCAGAATCTGTAAAAGGGGGAAGAGTTTTTGCGTTATGCCCCGCCCCTTTACCTTCTCCTGCCTGAATGACACGTGTCCGTATAAGGTCGTCTCTGGCTGTTTTCTGACCCTGGATCTATCTCTTCTCTCTGTGCGGATCAATACAGCTGAAGGTCTGTGACAGGAGGAGAATGATGCAGTACAGAGGACAAGGCAAGGGCTTTACCACAAAAACACCACATATCTAACAAAATACTATGATGTTAAGTGGTACAGTATGTGTAAAATGGTAAAGAAAACATGCTTTTCTCTGGTACAGTTCTAATCTAAACACCTAGGATCATTATTTAGTATTCTGAACATCTTAAAATTAGAATATAAAACCACTTAATTAGAGAAACAGGTGTACTGACTTCTGGTTGAAAACTGTGCTAAAGATTTACAGTACAGTCACACACACAAAAAACAAACAAACAAACAAAAAAAAGACCCTGGAGATGGTTAGTTTAAGCAGCAGTTTAATTCCATACACTGGAACATTCCAGGCCAAATCCTAACGTCTTCTAGCCTGTTTCATCAGCCGGTTTCACTTCATGGAAACTGTCTGACCTCACAGTATTAAGGGCCGTTCACACCAAAGCGTCAAAGCATCCAGTTTCTATGTAAAGTCTATGTGGATGTGCGACTAGAGCGTCCTGTGTTTTTGCGGCGCGTCTTCGGCGTCAGCGCGGCGCGAATCTGGCGTCAACGCGGCACGTCTTGAGCGTTTTCGCGTCGACGCTCTAGACGCGCGTCCAAGGCATCAGCGTCAAGAAGTTGAAAATGCTGAACTTTTCGCGTCAGACGCACCAACCAATCAGGGACGAGTATCCAGTGACGCAGCGACGTTATTATCAGGAAGCAAGACCCGAGAACCAGAGCGAGAACCACAAACATGAGCGGAGCATGAATATATACACCACAATCACCGAGCCGATCGCGAGGAATACACCAGGACCGGACCAGGACTAAACCAGGACTAGACCAGGACTAAACAAGGACTAGACCAGGACTAACAAGGACTAGACCAGGACTAAACAAGAACTAGATCGAGACTAGACCGGGACTAAACCAGGACTAGACCGCGACTAAACCAGGACTAGACCGGGAATAGACCGGGACTAAATCAGGACTAGACCGGGACTAGACCGGGACCAGACCGGGACTAAACCAGGACTGATCCAGTGTCATTAGCGCAGTATAAATATATATACGTCCCAGTCGTCGACCCGATCTCCTCCGCTGATGTTTTATGTCATGAAAACACTCTCTCAGTCTGGTCTGACAATGCTTCGGGAAAAGAGCGGGATCGGGCTCTTGTTTCCAGGGCAACGGACGCGCGTCAAGTATTTTTCTCCCGTTCGTCCACGGCGTCAAAGACGCGCATCGGGGGCGTCTAAACTCAAATGCAAAGGCGTCCAAATAGAGGCGTCAAGGCATTTTTTGATGCTTTGTTGTGAACGGCCCTTTAGGATTCG